TATATATATGTATGTATATGTGTGTGTATGTATATGTGTGTATATGTATGTATATATATATATATATATATATATGTGTGTGTGTATATGTATATATGTATGTATATTTATATGTATATATGTGTATGTATGTATATGTGTGTATGTATATGTATGTATATATATGTATATGTATATATAAATGTATGTATATATGGATGGATGGATGGATGTAATATTTCGAGTGCCCAGGTAGCACACGAACAATGCAATTTAACGACCTCTTGAAGCAGGAACATTTAACCTGTGGCCAGAAGTACGCTCTCTCCTTCCTTCTGCTCCGATGTAAACCTGAACTGGTCACCTGCTTAAATGTGAAACTCGATGCTGACCTCTCTGACTTCACACGTCAACGCCGCTGTTGGGTCCTGCTTTTTCCAGCTCCACCACATTATACCCTTTAAATCCATTCTCAGGCGCTAGCCTCTTGAGTCTATCATTTACGCGTTCATTACCTCCTGTCTAGACTACACCCATTCTGTTCTTGTTGGGATCAATGCATCTGCCTTAGGCGGACTACAGAACTTCAAATCGCTGCAACCAGATTCTTAACCAACAGCGAGTGACGCATGCACATCACTCCAGTTCTGGATGATTTACACTGGCTCCTGCTTACATTTAGGATTCATTTCAAAGTCTTGCTTGTTGTGTACAAGGCTTTGAATAGGCCATCTCCATCTTATCTGGCTGACCTGCTTATGCACCCACACTTCACCTCAGTCAGCTGATCAGCTGCCGGTGGTTGTTCCAATGGTCCGCTAAATCACGAGGGGAGCACTTTGTCTCATGCAGCCTAAAACTCTGGAACTCTGCTTTGGGGTAGGTTTTCTGAAGCGGGTCAAGTGGTCCACAATGTGCTTTTAATTCCAAAAATGAGCAGATTTGAGGTTCTTGTGGTTCTCCAGTTTGGGCTTGGAGAGCTAGCTTCAGAGGGTTTTTAGAGACAAGCAGTATGGACTTGTTTTAGAAGAACCAACTTCTGATTGAATCTCTGGTCACATGTCTCACCTGTGTCTCCAGGTCTGGTGTCCAGCAGTAAGTCCAGCCTGTCCTACTTGGTCAGCCGTCCCGAAGGAGGAAACGTGGCAGTGATTGCTGTGGGCGGAGCTCCAGAGGCTCTGGATGCTCGGCCTGGAGCTCTGACCCTCCAGGTATGCATTGTCTACCTGCTTCATGAAGGCCAGGCTTGGGTCTTTTTGGAACCCTTGAGCCATCAGGAATGCCGGGTCTGAGATTCAGAGGAACAGGAATCAGATGTGTTTTTCCTGATGATCTGCGTGTTTTCCAGGTGAAGAACAGGAAGGGGTTCATCAAACTGGCCCTTAAACATGGGTGGGTGGAGCCTAATGGAAGGCCGGATCTTGTGTTTGTGTTCCTCATGCTTGTGTCTTTTGTGCAGAGCTCAGCTGGTTCCCGTCTTTTCATTTGGAGAGAATGAGCTGTTTGATCAGATGGACAATCCAGACGGCTCTCCTCTCAGGAGACTGCAGGTCAGAGGTCACACCCACCTAACACACCTGGGACTACGGGGCTGTAGGTCAGAGGTCACTCTCACCTAACACACCTGGGACTATGGGGCTGTAGGTCAGAGGTCACACCCACTCTAACACACCTGGGACTATGGGGCTGTAGGTCAGAGGTCACACCCACTCTAACACACCTGGGACTATGGGGCTGTAGGTCAGAGGTCACACCCGCATAACACACCTGCGACTATGAGGCTGTAGGTCAGAGGTCACACCCACTCTAACACACCTGGGACTACAGGGCTGTAGGTCAGAGGTCACACCCGCGTAACACACCTGGGACTACGAGGCTGTAGGTCAGAGGTCACATCTGTCTAACACACCTGGGACTACGAGACTGTAGGTCAGATGTCACACCCACTCTAACACACCTGGGACTATGGGGCTGTAGGTCAGAGGTCACTCCCACCTAACACACCTGGGACTATGGGACTTTAGGTCAGAGGTCACACCTGTCTAACACACCTGGGACTACGAGACTGTAGGTCAGAGGTCACACCCACTCTAACACACCTGGGACTACGGGGCTGTAGGTCAGAGGTCACTCCCACCTAACACACCTGGGACTATGAGGCTGTAGGTCAGAGGTCACACCCACTCTAACACACCTGGGACTACGGGGCTGTAGGTCAGAGGTCACTCCCACCTAACACACCTGGGACTTTGGGGCTGTAGGTCAGAGGTCACACCCACTCTAACACACCTGGGACTATGGGGCTGTAGGTCAGAGATCACACCCACGCAACACACCTGCGACTATGAGGCTGTAGGTCAGAGGTCACACCCACTCTAACACACCTGGGACTACGAGGCTGTAGGTCAGAGGTCACACCCGCGTAACACACCTGGGACTACGAGGCTGTAGGTCAGAGGTCACACCCACTCTAACACACCTGGGACTATGGGGCTGTAGGTCAGAGGTCACACCCACTCTAACACACCTGGGACTACGGGGCTGTAGGTCAGAGGTCACTCCCACCTAACACACCTGGGACTATGGGACTTTAGGTCAGAGGTCACACCTGTCTAACACACCTGGGACTACGAGACTGTAGGTCAGAGGTCACACCCACTCTAACACACCTGGGACTACGGGGCTGTAGGTCAGAGGTCACTCCCACCTAACACACCTGGGACTATGGGACTGTAGGTCAGAGGTCACACCCACTCTAACACACCTGGGACTATGGGGCTGTAGGTCAGAGATCACACCCACGTAACACACCTGCGACTATGAGGCTGTAGGTCAGAGGTCACACCCACTCTAACACACCTGGGACTACCAGGCTGTAGGTCAGAGGTCACACCCGCGTAACACACCTGGGAATACGAGGCTGTAGGTCAGAGGTCACTCCCACCTAACACACCTGGGACTATGAGGCTGTAGGTCAGAGGTCACACCCACTCTAACACACCTGGGACTACGGGGCTGTAGGTCAGAGGTCACTCCCACCTAACACACCTGGGACTATGGGGCTGTAGGTCAGAGGTCACACCCACTCTAACACACCTGGGACTATGGGGCTGTAGGTCAGAGATCACACCCACGTAACACACCTGCGACTATGAGGCTGTAGGTCAGAGGTCACACCCACTCTAACACACCTGGGACTACGAGGCTGTAGGTCAGAGGTCACACCCGCGTAACACACCTGGGACTACGAGGCTGTAGGTCAGAGGTCACACCCACTCTAACACACCTGGGACTATGGGGCTGTAGGTCAGAGGTCACACCCGCGTAACACACCTGGGACTACGAGGCTGTAGGTCAGAGGTCACATCTGTCTAACACACCTGGGACTATGAGACTGTAGGTCAGAGGTCACACCCACTCTAACACACCTGGGACTATGGGGCTGTAGGTCAGAGGTCACACCAGCGTAACACACCTGGGACTATGGGGCTGTAGGTCAGAGGTCACTCCCACCTAACACACCTGGGACTATGGGGCTTTAGGTCAGAGGTCACACCTGTCTAACACACCTGGGACTACGAGGCTGTAGGTCAGAGGTCACACCCACTCTAACACACCTGGGACTATGGGGCTGTAGGTCAGAGGTCACTCCCACCTAACACACCTGGGACTATGGGACTTTAGGTCAGAGGTCACACCTGTCTAACACACCTGGGACTACGAGACTGTAGGTCAGAGGTCACACCCACTCTAACACACCTGGGACTACGGGGCTGTAGGTCAGAGGTCACTCCCACCTAACACACCTGGGACTATGGGACTGTAGGTCAGAGGTCACACCCACTCTAACACACCTGGGACTATGGGGCTGTAGGTCAGAGATCACACCCACGTAACACACCTGCGACTATGAGGCTGTAGGTCAGAGGTCACACCCACTCTAACACACCTGGGACTACGAGGCTGTAGGTCAGAGGTCACACCCGCGTAACACACCTGGGACTACGAGGCTGTAGGTCAGAGGTCACTCCCACCTAACACACCTGGGACTATGAGGCTGTAGGTCAGAGGTCACACCCACTCTAACACACCTGGGACTACGGGGCTGTAGGTCAGAGGTCACTCCCACCTAACACACCTGGGACTATGGGGCTGTAGGTCAGAGGTCACACCCACTCTAACACACCTGGGACTATGGGGCTGTAGGTCAGAGATCACACCCACGTAACACACCTGCGACTATGAGGCCGTAGGTCAGAGGTCACACCCACTCTAACACACCTGGGACTACGAGGCTGTAGGTCAGAGGTCACACCCGCGTAACACACCTGGGACTACGAGGCTGTAGGTCAGAGGTCACTCCCACCTAACACACCTGGGACTATGAGGCTGTAGGTCAGAGGTCACACCCACTCTAACACACCTGGGACTACGGGGCTGTAGGTCAGAGGTCACTCCCACCTAACACACCTGGGACTATGGGGCTGTAGGTCAGAGGTCACACCCACTCTAACACACCTGGGACTATGGGGCTGTAGGTCAGAGATCACACCCACGTAACACACCTGCGACTATGAGGCTGTAGGTCAGAGGTCACACCCACTCTAACACACCTGGGACTACGAGGCTGTAGGTCAGAGGTCACACCCGCGTAACACACCTGGGACTACGAGGCTGTAGGTCAGAGGTCACACCCACTCTAACACACCTGGGACTATGGGGCTGTAGGTCAGAGGTCACACCCGCGTAACACACCTGGGACTACGAGGCTGTAGGTCAGAGGTCACATCTGTCTAACACACCTGGGACTATGAGACTGTAGGTCAGAGGTCACACCCACTCTAACACACCTGGGACTATGGGGCTGTAGGTCAGAGGTCACACCAGCGTAACACACCTGGGACTATGGGGCTGTAGGTCAGAGGTCACACCCACTCTAACACACCTGGGACTATGGGGCTGTAGGTCAGAGGTCACTCCCACCTAACACACCTGGGACTATGGGACTTTAGGTCAGAGGTCACACCTGTCTAACACACCTGGGACTACGAGACTGTAGGTCAGAGGTCACACCCACTCTTAGGGCTGCTCGATTATGGCAAAAATAATAATCACGATTATGGTGACTGAAATTGAGATCACGATTATTTAGGACGATTTTTCAATTTATGTTGATTTTATTTGTTTTTATTCAGTCATAAATTGCTCAGGGCACAATCAGGACAAAAATAAGAAACAAGATGATCACTAAAAGAACTCCTGATTCCCAGTATAAAAAGACCAATATACTTATAGCTCATAGTTTATGACCCAAGGGTTTGGTTTAACTCATTTAAGTCTAACTAGTACAGACCCAAATAGCAATATCTTGCAAATACTGTCAGCAAGAATTATACAGTGGCATTTATAACAAATAAATGCAAATTAATTGATTTTCACAAAATGTTGCATAATACGTATTTAGTCGTGTCAAGGTGCTGTAGGAGTGCACTAACACTGTGTCCTCAGAGAGATTAGTTATTATTTATCAGCGTGAGGAACTTATTTCTACCTTATTTATAAACTATTTATTTACAAGTCCATCAGTTAATGTAATAATTGTCCCAACCACAGCTGCACCCCCCACCCCCCAAACCGGTCTCACAGCAATCGGGCAAGCTGCACGTGTGTTTAGCGCGCCGCACGCGCACATTTAGCCATTTTTAGCGGCTCAGGAGTCCGCAGGTGCGGTGTGTGTGTGTCACTCACTCTGGTTAATCCAACAAGGAGCCGGCTCCGAGAGCTGTTTCTTTAGCGACTGACACATCACTAGATCATTCCCTTTCCTAATGTCCTGAAGAACGGTCCGGAGCGCAGGCGGAGTGTTTAGCTAACCTGCAGGAAACGTCGACGACAGTTATCCAGAAAGTAGCTAAGGGTTACCAGAGATGTTTCTCAGGTGTTCGCTAGGTACTTTTAAGTTAAAAAGTCAAGAAGGGGGTCTGAAAAGCTGCTAGAAATAGCGTCACAGTCACTAAGTTGTCAACACTGTGGGAGGAGCGCTTCATTTGCAACTCAGGGCAGCGCAAGCGGGAGGAGCAAATAATCGGCTTGTTTTGTTTTTTATAATCGTTCAAAACTCAGATCGTAATCGTGATTAAAATTCGATTAATTGAGCAGCCCTACCCACTCTAACACACCTGGGACTACGGGGCTGTAGGTCAGAGGTCACTCCCACCTAACACACCTGGGACTATGGGACTGTAGGTCAGAGGTCACACCCACTCTAACACACCTGGGACTATGGGGCTGTAGGTCAGAGATCACACCCACGTAACACACCTGCGACTATGAGGCTGTAGGTCAGAGGTCACACCCACTCTAACACACCTGGGACTACGAGGCTGTAGGTCAGAGGTCACACCCGCGTAACACACCTGGGACTACGAGGCTGTAGGTCAGAGGTCACTCCCACCTAACACACCTGGGACTATGAGGCTGTAGGTCAGAGGTCACACCCACTCTAACACACCTGGGACTACGGGGCTGTAGGTCAGAGGTCACTCCCACCTAACACACCTGGGACTATGGGGCTGTAGGTCAGAGGTCACACCCACTCTAACACACCTGGGACTATGGGGCTGTAGGTCAGAGATCACACCCACGTAACACACCTGCGACTATGAGGCTGTAGGTCAGAGGTCACACCCACTCTAACACACCTGGGACTACGAGGCTGTAGGTCAGAGGTCACACCCGCGTAACACACCTGGGACTACGAGGCTGTAGGTCAGAGGTCACACCCACTCTAACACACCTGGGACTATGGGGCTGTAGGTCAGAGGTCACACCCGCGTAACACACCTGGGACTACGAGGCTGTAGGTCAGAGGTCACATCTGTCTAACACACCTGGGACTATGAGACTGTAGGTCAGAGGTCACACCCACTCTAACACACCTGGGACTATGGGGCTGTAGGTCAGAGGTCACACCAGCGTAACACACCTGGGACTATGGGGCTGTAGGTCAGAGGTCACTCCCACCTAACACACCTGGGACTATGGGGCTTTAGGTCAGAGGTCACACCTGTCTAACACACCTGGGACTACGAGGCTGTAGGTCAGAGGTCACACCCACTCTAACACACCTGGGACTATGGGGCTGTAGGTCAGAGGTCACTCCCACCTAACACACCTGGGACTATGGGACTTTAGGTCAGAGGTCACACCTGTCTAACACACCTGGGACTACGAGACTGTAGGTCAGAGGTCACACCCACTCTAACACACCTGGGACTACGGGGCTGTAGGTCAGAGGTCACTCCCACCTAACACACCTGGGACTATGGGACTGTAGGTCAGAGGTCACACCCACTCTAACACACCTGGGACTATGGGGCTGTAGGTCAGAGATCACACCCACGTAACACACCTGCGACTATGAGGCTGTAGGTCAGAGGTCACACCCACTCTAACACACCTGGGACTACGAGGCTGTAGGTCAGAGGTCACACCCGCGTAACACACCTGGGACTACGAGGCTGTAGGTCAGAGGTCACTCCCACCTAACACACCTGGGACTATGAGGCTGTAGGTCAGAGGTCACACCCACTCTAATACACCTGGGACTACGGGGCTGTAGGTCAGAGGTCACTCCCACCTAACACACCTGGGACTATGGGGCTGTAGGTCAGAGGTCACACCCACTCTAACACACCTGGGACTATGGGGCTGTAGGTCAGAGATCACACCCACGTAACACACCTGCGACTATGAGGCCGTAGGTCAGAGGTCACACCCACTCTAACACACCTGGGACTACGAGGCTGTAGGTCAGAGGTCACACCCGCGTAACACACCTGGGACTACGAGGCTGTAGGTCAGAGGTCACTCCCACCTAACACACCTGGGACTATGAGGCTGTAGGTCAGAGGTCACACCCACTCTAACACACCTGGGACTACGGGGCTGTAGGTCAGAGGTCACTCCCACCTAACACACCTGGGACTATGGGGCTGTAGGTCAGAGGTCACACCCACTCTAACACACCTGGGACTATGGGGCTGTAGGTCAGAGATCACACCCACGTAACACACCTGCGACTATGAGGCTGTAGGTCAGAGGTCACACCCACTCTAACACACCTGGGACTACGAGGCTGTAGGTCAGAGGTCACACCCGCGTAACAAACCTGGGACTACGAGGCTGTAGGTCAGAGGTCACACCCACTCTAACACACCTGGGACTATGGGGCTGTAGGTCAGAGGTCACACCCGCGTAACACACCTGGGACTACGAGGCTGTAGGTCAGAGGTCACATCTGTCTAACACACCTGGGACTATGAGACTGTAGGTCAGAGGTCACACCCACTCTAACACACCTGGGACTATGGGGCTGTAGGTCAGAGGTCACACCAGCGTAACACACCTGGGACTATGGGGCTGTAGGTCAGAGGTCACACCCACTCTAACACACCTGGGACTATGGGGCTGTAGGTCAGAGGTCACTCCCACCTAACACACCTGGGACTATGGGACTTTAGGTCAGAGGTCACACCTGTCTAACACACCTGGGACTACGAGACTGTAGGTCAGAGGTCACACCCACTCTTAGGGCTGCTCGATTATGGCAAAAATAATAATCACGATTATGGTGACTGAAATTGAGATCACGATTATTTAGGACGATTTTTCAATTTATGTTGATTTTATTTGTTTTTATTCAGTCATAAATTGCTCAGGGCACAATCAGGACAAAAATAAGAAACAAGATGATCACTAAAAGAACTCCTGATTCCCAGTATAAAAAGACCAATATACTTATAGCTCATAGTTTATGACCCAAGGGTTTGGTTTAACTCATTTAAGTCTAACTAGTACAGACCCAAATAGCAATATCTTGCAAATACTGTCAGCAAGAATTATACAGTGGCATTTATAACAAATAAATGCAAATTAATTGATTTTCACAAAATGTTGCATAATACGTATTTAGTCGTGTCAAGGTGCTGTAGGAGTGCACTAACACTGTGTCCTCAGAGAGATTAGTTATTATTTATCAGCGTGAGGAACTTATTTCTACCTTATTTATAAACTATTTATTTACAAGTCCATCAGTTAATGTAATAATTGTCCCAACCACAGCTGCACCCCCCACCCCCCAAACCGGTCTCACAGCAATCGGGCAAGCTGCACGTGTGTTTAGCGCGCCGCACGCGCACATTTAGCCATTTTTAGCGGCTCAGGAGTCCGCAGGTGCGGTGTGTGTGTGTCACTCACTCTGGTTAATCCAACAAGGAGCCGGCTCCGAGAGCTGTTTCTTTAGCGACTGACACATCACTAGATCATTCCCTTTCCTAATGTCCTGAAGAACGGTCCGGAGCGCAGGCGGAGTGTTTAGCTAACCTGCAGGAAACGTCGACGACAGTTATCCAGAAAGTAGCTAAGGGTTACCAGAGATGTTTCTCAGGTGTTCGCTAGGTACTTTTAAGTTAAAAAGTCAAGAAGGGGGTCTGAAAAGCTGCTAGAAATAGCGTCACAGTCACTAAGTTGTCAACACTGTGGGAGGAGCGCTTCATTTGCAACTCAGGGCAGCGCAAGCGGGAGGAGCAAATAATCGGCTTGTTTTGTTTTTTATAATCGTTCAAAACTCAGATCGTAATCGTGATTAAAATTCGATTAATTGAGCAGCCCTACCCACTCTAACACACCTGGGACTACGGGGCTGTAGGTCAGAGGTCACTCCCACCTAACACACCTGGGACTATGGGACTGTAGGTCAGAGGTCACACCCACTCTAACACACCTGGGACTATGGGGCTGTAGGTCAGAGATCACACCCACGTAACACACCTGCGACTATGAGGCTGTAGGTCAGAGGTCACACCCACTCTAACACACCTGGGACTACGAGGCTGTAGGTCAGAGGTCACACCCGCGTAACACACCTGGGACTACGAGGCTGTAGGTCAGAGGTCACTCCCACCTAACACACCTGGGACTATGAGGCTGTAGGTCAGAGGTCACACCCACTCTAACACACCTGGGACTACGGGGCTGTAGGTCAGAGGTCACTCCCACCTAACACACCTGGGACTATGGGGCTGTAGGTCAGAGGTCACACCCACTCTAACACACCTGGGACTATGGGGCTGTAGGTCAGAGATCACACCCACGTAATACACCTGCGACTATGAGGCTGTAGGTCAGAGGTCACACCCACTCTAACACACCTGGGACTACGAGGCTGTAGGTCAGAGGTCACACCCGCGTAACACACCTGGGACTACGAGGCTGTAGGTCAGAGGTCACACCCACTCTAACACACCTGGGACTATGGGGCTGTAGGTCAGAGGTCACACCCTCGTAACACACCTGGGACTACGAGGCTGTAGGTCAGAGGTCACATCTGTCTAACACACCTGGGACTATGAGACTGTAGGTCAGAGGTCACACCCACTCTAACACACCTGGGACTATGGGGCTGTAGGTCAGAGGTCACACCAGCGTAACACACCTGGGACTATGGGGCTGTAGGTCAGAGGTCACTCCCACCTAACACACCTGGGACTATGGGGCTTTAGGTCAGAGGTCACACCTGTCTAACACACCTGGGACTACGAGGCTGTAGGTCAGAGGTCACACCCACTCTAACACACCTGGGACTATGGGGCTGTAGGTCAGAGGTCACTCCCACCTAACACACCTGGGACTATGGGGCTTTAGGTCAGAGGTCACACCTGTCTAACACACCTGGGACTACGAGACTGTAGGTCAGAGGTCACACCCACTCTAACACACCTGGGACTATGGGGCTGTAGGTCAGAGGTCACACCCACGTAACACACCTGGGACTACAGGGCTTTAGGTCAGAGGTCACACCCACGTAACACACCTGGCACTACGAGGCAGTAGGTCAGAGGTCACTCCCACTCTAACACATTGGAGTCCGAGACCTGAACTCAAGTCCAGTCCTCCAGCTGGGACTCTAACAGGTTCTGGTATGTGTGCGTTTGTCTGGGTGGGGCTAAACCAGGTCATGTTTACCTGGTTCAGGTTTTCCTGAGTTTAGCTAATCGTTTTCCAACTTTGGTCAAACGTAATTTTTAATAAAAACACAAAGAATATTGTGACTGATGTTTAAAAGCCTGTTAGTATTATGGGATGTCCCGTTCTGTTTTCACAGAACCGCCTGCAGAGCCTCATGGGAATATCGATTCCTCTGTTCCATGCCAGAGGAGTTTTCCAGTACAGCTTTGGACTGATACCCTATAGGAAACCCATACACACCGTTGGTACGTTTACTCGGGTCTTGCTGGGGTTTCAGAACCTCTGATATAACAGCATTGATGCAGAACTGTTGGAGCAAGTCTTTTCTCTCTCCCTGGTTCTGTTCCAGTTGGGAAGCCTATCCCGGTCTCCCAGACTCCCAGTCCCAGTGCCGAAGACATCGACCATTTCCACGGCGTTTACCTCCAGAATCTGATCGAACTCTTTGAGCAGAACAAACTCTCCTACGGTCTGGAGGAGAACCAGCACCTCACCTTCATCTGACCAGAATCGTGTTCTGGTCTGGAAACCTTCAGAACACCTGACCTCTGTGTAAACCTCATGTGACCTTTTTTCTGCATTCTGATTGGCTGAAGATAAACCCCTGAAAACTACTTGAAGATGTTCCACCATAAGAGACTGATTCCGGTCTGCCCTGGTACTCCTGAAACTCAGCTGATATTGCTCTGATGGAACAGCAGGGGGCGCCACATCAGCCTTCAGAACCAATCATCAGCCCTGAAGGAATTAGATCTGTACAGCAGACCTGTCTGGACTTCCATTACCCATGACGTTAACATGTTGCTGGATGAAGAATCATGTCACTCATGACGTTAACGTGTTCTAGGAAATTAAACGTGTCACTCATGACGTTAACGTGTTCTAGGAAATTAAACATGTCACTCATGAGGTTAACGTGTTCTAGGAAATTAAACGTGTCACTCATGACGTTAACGTGTTCTAGGAAATTAAACGTGTCACTCATGACGTTAACGTGTTCTAGGAAATTAAACATGTCACTCATGACGTTAACGTGTTCTAAGAAATTAAACGTGTCACCCATGACGTTAACATGTTGCTGGATGAAGAATCATGTCACTCATGACGTTAACGTGTTCTAGGAAATTAAACGTGTCACCCATGACGTTAACGTGTTCTAGGAAATTAAACATGTCACCCATGACGTTAACATGTTGCTGGATGAAGAATCATGTCACTCATGACGTTAACGTGTTCTAGGAAATTAAACATGTCACTCATGACGTTAACGTGTTCTAGGAAATTAAACGTGTCACCCATGACGTTAACGTGTTCTAGGAAATTAAACATGTCACTCATGACGTTAACGTGTTCTAGGAAATTAAACATGTCACTCATGACGTTAACGTGTTCTAGGAAATTAAACGTGTCACCCATGACGTTAACGTGTTCTAGGAAATTAAACGTGTCACCCATGACGTTAACGTGTTCTAGGAAATTAAACATGTCACTCATGACGTTAACGTGTTCTAGGAAATTAAACATGTCACTCATGACGTTAACGTGTTCTAGGAAATAAAAATGTATTACCCAATTCAATTCAATTCAAGTTTATTTATATAGCGCCAAATCACGACAAGAGTTGTCTCAAGGCACTTCACATAATAAACATTCCAATTCAGGTCAGGTCATTAAGCCAATCAGAAATAATGTTTCCTATATAAGGAACCCAGCAAATTGCATCAAGTCACTGACTAGTGTCAGTGACTATACAGCAATCCTCATACTAAGCAAGCATGCAGCGACAGTGGCGAGGAAAACTCCCTTTTAAGAGGAAGAAACCTCCAGAGGATCCTGGCTCAGTATAAGCAGCCATCCTCCACGACTCACTGGGGATGGAGAAGACAGAGCACACACACACACACACACACACACCATACAGGTGCTGGCCAGTAAATTAGAATATCATCAAAAGGTTGAAAATATTTCAGTAATTCCATTCAAAACGTGAAACTTGTACATTATATTCATGCAATGCACACAGACCAATGTATTTCCGATGTTTATTACGTTTAATTTTGATATTTATAGGTGACAACCAATGAAAACATCAAATCTGGTATCTCAGAAAATTAGAATATTCTAAAGGCCAATGAAAAAATGTTTGTTTCTCTAATGTTGGCCAACTGAAAAGAATGAACATGAAAAGAATGTGCATGTATAGCACTCAATACTTAGTCGGGGCTCCTTTTGCCTCAATAACTGCAGTAATGCGGCGTTGCATGGACTCGATCAGTCTGTGGCACTGCTCAGGTGTTATGAGAGCCCAGGTTGCTCTGATAGTCGTCTTCAGCTCCTCTGCATTGTTGGGTCTAGCGTATTGCATCCTCCGCTTCACAATACCCCATAGATTTTCTATGGGGTTAAGGTCAGGCGAGTTTGCTGGCCAATCAAGGACAGGGATAGCATGGTCCTTGAACCAGGTGCTGGTGGTTTTGGCACTGTGTGCAGGTGCCAAGTCCTGTTGAAAGGTGAAGTCTGCATCCCCATAAAGTTGGTCAGCAGCAGGAAGCATGAAGTGCTCTAAAACTTCCTGGTAGACGGCTGCATTGACCCTGGACCTCAGGAAACAGAGTGGGCCAACACTGGCAGATGACATGGCACCCCACACCATCACTGACGGTGGAAACTTTACACTGGACCTCATGCAACGTGGATTCTGTGCTTCTCCGCTCTTCCTCCAGACTCTGGGTCCTTGATTTCCAAAGGAAATGCAGAACTTGCTTTCATCAGAAAACATAACTTTGGACCACTCAGCATCAGTCCAGTCCTTTTTGTCCTTGGCCCAGGCGAGACGCTTCTTGCGCTGTTTCATGTTCAAGAGTGGCTTGACACACGGAATGCGACACCTGAATCCCATGTCTTTCATGAGTCTCCTCGTGGTGGTTCTTGAAGCGCTGACTCCAGCTGCAGTCCACTCTTTGTGGATCTCCCCCACATGTTTGAATGGGTTTGTCGTCACAATTCTCTGCAGGGTGCGGTTATCCCTAGAGCTTGTACACTTTTTTCTACCACATTTTTTCCGTCCCTTCGCCTGTCTGTTAATGTGCTTGGACACAGAGCTCTGCGAACAGCCAGCTTCTTTAGCAATCACCTTTTGTGTCTTGCCCTCCTTGTGCAAGGTGTCAATGATTGTCTTTTGGACAGCTGTTAAGTCAGAAGTCTTCCCCATGATTGTGGTGCCTTCAAAACAAGACTGAGGGACCTTTTAAAGGCCTTTGCAGGTGTTTTGAGTAAATCAGCTGATTAGAGTGGCAGCAGGTGTCTTCTATATTCAGCCTTTTCAGAATATTCTAATTTTTTGAGATACCAAATTTGGAGTTTTCATTAGTTGTCACTTATGAATATCAAATTTAAATGTAATGAACATTGGAAATACATTGGTCTGTGTGCATTGCATGAATATAATGTACAAGTTTCACGTTTTGAATGGAATTACTGAAATATTTTCAACCTTTTGATGATATTCTAATTTACTGGCCAGCACCTGTATATGGAACAATCAGGTCACTGATGTATGATGGAGCTTGATTATTAAGAGCTTTATATGTGAGAAGAAGGATCTTAAAATCTATTCTGAATTTAACAGGTAGCCAATGTAGGGAAGCTAAGACAGGAGAGATATGATCTCTCTTTTTAATTCTCATCAGAACTCTAGCTGCAGCATTTTGGACAAGCTGAAGACTTTTAACTACATTCTGTGGACTTCCTGAGAGTAATGGATTACAGTAATCCAGTCTTGATGTAATAAATGCATGAACTAGTTTTTCAGCATCACTCCTGGAAAGGATGCTTCTAATCTTAGCAATATTCCAAAGGTGGAAAAAGGAAATCCTACAAACTTGTGAAACCTGGGATTTGAATGACATGTCATATATTGTACATAAGATAATCACTTTTATGGATTTCTGAAAGATTCTACATTTCTAAAAGGGGAAAACTCCGGAAGGATATGTTGAGTCACAGAATAAGCAATGATGAAGAAGACAATGAAACAGCAGTTTGGAAGATTGCTTATTCATTTTATTTATGAGTCAAATTTGGCAGTTCTAATGTGAAAATGAAAAATACTTTCTGCTACTGCATAATAATTTGATTTCTGTTACACGTATGCTTCCATACTGCTGTGATGTGGGTAACTGTTTGGTTCCTGGTAAAGGTGCACCAATATATTGTTTCCCCCAGAAACGACCACCAACGCATTTATTCGACCACTGCGAATGTATTGATTAAAAAAGAGAGACATAATATCTCAGAAACGTAATCAGATTACATCAAAAACTGATGTTTGCTGAGTTCATGAGTGGTTGTTGTTTATTGTTTGTGGTGCAGGTGGTTGGCGTTCAGGTGGACGGTGAAGCAGTCGACTCTCTGTCCATCACAAACACACCCAACACTCCGCAGAACCAGGCCTTCCTGGACCTGAGTGGATGTAGAAGTTCTGGTTGGTGGAACTCCAACATGTGTTTGGGATCTTTGAGTATCTCAGAGGTCTAAAGCCTCTCTCCTCAGGCATGGCGTATGAACCTGGAGTCCAGGTCATAACACCTGAAACCTGCATTTCTGTCACCTGCAATGAAACCAGAGGCAATAGTCGAGCGGACCGCAGATAGAGGACCTGTGGTCCGCTCGAGTATTGCCTCTTATGTTTACGTTTATTTATTTGGCAGACACTTTTATGTGTTTTCTGTGGCGCCCGTGGGCCCCCTCTTCGTGGCCCCTGAACCCCGGCCTCATCTGAGCTATACCTCCGAGGTCCATGCAGGAGACGAGACTCTTATAAACTGTATCGGGGGTAGGCAGCCCTGCTTGTTCTCCAACCACCTTTGTTGTTCCTGCTGTTGATTACCTGGATCAGGTGTGTTCAGCCAATTAGAAGCTGCAAGTTCATGCATGGCTGGACAACATGGCGGACTGCAGCCCTCGAGGACCAGGGTTGCCTACCCCTGCTCTATATAAATATACATCTAATAAAAGGATTTCTTTCAGCCTGCAAGTTTACAGTCATATTCTGTGTTATCTACAGCGAAAGTTCATCTAAAGTGATTTAATAATGAATTAATAATTATTTCATGACTTATTTCTGATTTTAAATACATTAAATGAGTCTACTTGATGATTTAATAATGATTAATAATCAGCTACATTCACATATTAATATACAATAAATCCAGATATGAAGTGATATGAGCTTTCTAAGCGTCACAGAAAGGGGAGTGTCTGAGGGTCTCGGTAAACACCTAGACACTTCAAAGTTTGGCTAGAACTCGGGACAACAGGAAGTGAGTTCACGGAGCTCCGAGTTCACCCGAAGCTCAGCTCCTGCTGAGTGACCAACCAGATGTTTCAGTGGAATCATTCTAGTGGATTAAAGAACCAATCAAGAGCTTTATTCTACTGAGCATTTATTAAAAGTAACCACTTACAAATGCTACACTGTCATCAGCATAAAGTCGAACTCTACAGATAGGAACACATCACATCTTTAGCTCCTCCCACTCAGGGGGGAGCTAAAGGGCGTCATGGAGCTGCCTCCTCCTCAGGGGTTGTGGTTACTCCCCAAGGCATGCTGGGTAAATAGTGTGCTAGCCACTCCCCCCAGCTGCTCCTCAGGCCCTCCCCCCCTCCTCCAGGACCTCTCTTCACCTCCCAGCCTCCCACCACCCAGTCCAGCTCCTCCCGCCCTCCCTCAGCCTCCTCCTTCTCCTCCCGTAGAATCACACTGTAACGCTTTTTGGTTCCTCCTCCACCTCCTCCTGTAGGCTCTCTATCCCTCCTGACGCGCCTCCTTCCTCCATCCTCAGCAGAGACCCGACACTCCTCCAGAACATCCCTCCATCCTTCCATCTCCTCCTCTTTGCTTACCAGCCGGTACAGAGTCTTCCTGTACACCCCCCTCTCCTCCCTCCCTCCCTCATCTCCTCCTTCTCCTCCAGCCAGTGTCAGCGTAATGACCTGCTGGTTTCTGTCTCCTCCCCCCACAGCTTCTCCTTCTTCTCTACTGATAAACAGAACAGAGCGGTACAGAGCCATCACTCCTCCTTCTCCTCTGATCTCCTCCTTCCTACTTGGCATTATGAGTGGGACCCCTCCTTGACCTTTGACCCTCCTGGCTAAGCTCCTGCTCAGCGGTTTGTAAACCCTCTTGTACCAGAAGACCAGCTTCACTAGAGTCACCAGAACACACGCTGCAGAGGCTGAGCTCAGCAGAAGGCCTCCTGCTAACAGCCACACACAGAACACTCCTGCAGAACCTGCAGAACCTGTAGAACCTGCAGGACCTGCAGAACCTGCAGAACCTGTAGAACCTGCAGAACCTGTAGAACCAATGAAGGTGTTGGACCCCAGAGAATGGATTAACATGGTTGATGCTTCAGTCGACGCAGCTGGTGTTCCAGGCTGGACGGACGGAGCTGCTGTGGGTGAAGGACCAGCTCTGATGACTTCTGATGGACCCACAGACTGAAAGGTCAAGTCATGTGACCGAGCAGGTGTTCTGGTGATGAACTCTGACCCAGAAAGATGCGACCATTTAACCCAGTGGGTGAAGTTCTGGTACCAGGACCTCGTCACCACTCTGTAGACCTCTGAGTGAAGTTCTAGTGACACAGCAGGAGACGTGGTCAGGGACGGATCTGGGATGGGCGGAGCCAAGGTGAGGGGAGGGGAGACTGTTTGTGGGTCGAACGACTCTTGTGAAGAAGAACAGAGATCAGAGTCTTCTAGACTGACGACAGGTTTGTGTTTGTGTTCCTGAGGAGCAGCACAAGCCTGGAGAGGAGATAGAACACCACGCTTTATCAGGACATGTCCATCCATCCATCCATCCATCCATCACTCCATCCATCCATCACTCCATCCATCCATCCATCCACCCACCTACCTACCTACCTACCTACCTACCCACCCACCCACCTACCTACCTACCTACCTACCCACCCACCCACCCGGCGTTCCTGCTGGCTGTCCCGGACCGAGTGGGGCAAAACCCGAGGCGGCGGAGACGGCGTGGAAAACGTGGTGGCGTCCGGGTTAGGATAAGGGCTTTTCGGCGAGATAACAGCGATGGTCGTTTCCTCCAGGACGTACCCCTCTGTGACTTCTCGCCTGGATCCATCCGGGTTCTGCAGCGCCAAAGGCTGGACCGTGCGCGCGGGAGCTCCCAGCCTGCGCAGCGCACTGGTGGAATAAATCCGGGAAATCTCCTCTATCCCGTGAGGTCGGGGTTTTGGCGAACCTCGGATTGGCTTCCATCCAGCTCCCTGCCGCAGCTTCGATCGCTCTGCTGAACGTCCGCTCGCTGGGGAACAAGACCGCTATCCTAAAGGATTTTTACACCGATAACGCTGTGAGCCTGTTCTGCATGACGGAGACGTGGGCTCTGCCAGGTGAAACGGCTTCCTTGGTCGAACTCTGTCCTCCTGACTGTAGCGTTGTTAATGAGCCGAGACTCTCTGGCCGTGGGGGGGGGGGTGGGGGCTTGCTGTCCCTGTACTGCTCTAACCTCCCACTTAAACCTCTTGCTGGGCTGATGGCTCCGACCAGTTTAGAAGTCTCAGCATTTGAGCTGGGCTTCTCTCCTCCCATCCTCGTTTTACTGCTACAGGCCACCACGATACAAGAAGGATTTTATAAGTGAACTCTCCAAACTTTTAGCTGATGTGCTCCCAAAATATGAACAGGGGATTATTTTGGGTGATTTTAATATCCACGTCCGCTGCCCTCTGAAACCACCGGTGAGGGACTTTATGAATGTTTTAGACTCATTTGGACTACAGCAGTTGGTAAACGTTCCCACACATGCTGACTCGCACACCCTGGATTCGGTTTTATCTTTTGGACTGGATGTGCATGATTTATCTGTGGAGCCTGTGGCGTTTTCCGACCATGCTGTGATCACGTTCAGCATCTCACGTCTCCTTCCTCCAGCCCGGCGACGGTCTGCTCGTTACTCCTGGCGCTTATCTCCGAGTACGACTTCCAGCTTTCTGTCGGTTTTGGACACGGATGCCCTCGCTCCGCCCTTGTCGGTTTCCTGCATGGATGTAGATGGCCTTCTGCATCGGTTCAGTGTGACCTGCTCTGCTGCTCTGGACGCTGTTGCCCCTCTGAGACCGAGGCGGAAACAGACAACATCTGACCCTTGGCTGAATGATGACACCCGTAGCCTCAGGCGACAGTGCAGGGTACTGGAACGGAGGTGGAGGAGAGACAGACTATCATGCTCTCGGCTGCTCCTGGTTGATGCACTTTCACGCTACCAGAGAGCAGTTAGATCTGCTCGTAACATCTACTTTTCTGCTATCATTTCACAGCATCATGGAGACCAGTCCAGGCTGTACAGCACAGTTAACTCCCTGCTGCTGTTAAATGAGTCTGATGGTCTAAATCCCACTGTTGCTTTGTGCACAGAGCTACAGAGCTTTTTCCTCAACAAGATCCTTGGTATTAGGCTTAGCCTCCAGCCTCAAATACATACTATCCATGTAGAACCGCCTGACCCACCTGCCTTCTCAGACTTTGCTCCAGTTCAGCTTGCTGACTTGATGAAACTGATTAGCTCCATGAAGCCAGCTGGCTCTTCGGTGGACTGCCTCCCGGCTAAATTGGTGCGTGACTCGGTGTCTGCGCTGAGCCCGGCACTCATGAACATTTTTAACATTAGCCTCAGCACTGGAGTGTTCCCTAAGGTTTTTAAAGATGCGGTTGTTCAGCCGATATTGAAGAAACCTGGTCTGGATCACTCCACTTATGAGCACTTTCGCCCTATTTCGAAAGTCCCGTTTCTCTCGAAGGTCCTTGAGAAAATTGTGCATGGCCAGATCTCTGCCCATATGAATAGCAACTCGTTGCTGGATGTATTTCAGTCAGCCTTTAGACCAAACCATAGCACTGAGTCTGCTTTGATTAGGGTGCTAAATAACATTCTGGTGGCATCCGACTCTGGGTCTAGGGTACTGCTGCTCCAGCTGGACCTTTCAGCGGCTTTTGATACGGTCGATCACCATATTTTACTGGATCGGCTTGGGTCTTGGGTTGGGGTGACGGGGGTGGCGCTTAAATGGTTCCGCTCCTACCTATCAATCCTTACCATCTCTGTACAGATTGGTGACTGTGCATCCTCCTGCTTCCACTGCCTTGGGGGGTGCCACAGGGTTCCGTTCTTGGGCCATTGCTGTTTTCAATCTACCTTCTGCCTCTGGGCAACATCCTGAATCAGCATGGCCTGAGCTACCACATCTACGCTGATGACTGTCAGCTGTACGTGGAAATGGACGAGAAAAATGCGGGCTCGAAATTGGCTGCATGTATGGATGACGTGAAGGGCTGGCTGGCATCCAACTTCTTAAAACTGAATGAAAAGAAGTCTGAGTTTATTGTTTTTGACCCCCGCAACCACCATGGCTCTCACCCTGTTTGTGACCTTTTAACCTTTAACCCCAAACAGTGTGTGACAAGTCTCGGGGTCAAGCTGGATGCTGGACTCACAATGGCCCCACAGATAAACTCTGTAGTGAGGTCTTGTTTTTATCAGCCTCGCCGCCTTACTCACCTCAGACGAATCTTGAAACGGAGGCATTTGGAGTCAGTCATCCATGCCTTCATTACCTCTCGCCTGGACTATGCAAACACCCTCCTCATTGGTGTTCCGGACTCTGCCCTGAATCGGCTGCAGGTTGTTCAGAACGCTGCTGCCAGGTTCTTGACGGGTACACACCGACGTAGCCACATTACCCCTGTCCTGGAACATCTTCACTGGCTCCCTGTCATTTTCAGAGTGCAGTTTAAGTTACTGACATTTGTTTTTAAAGCACTCAATGACCTGGCACCTTCCTACCTCTCTGCCCTTCTCACTCCATATGTGCCCACCCGCTCGTTGAGGTCGGCTGACCTTTTGCTGCTGTGCACACCGCGGATGAGGCTCAAATCGCGGGGTGAACGAGCATTTGTCCATGCTGCCCCAAAGCTATGGAACTCGTTGCCCATTGGAGTTCGGCAGGCTCCATCCCTGGCGGTTTTTAAATCTCGTTTAAAGACCCACTTTTACACTTTGGCTTTTGGACAGTGACTCGTTTTAGTGTTTTATTGTGTCATTGTTTTAATGTGTTCTTATTATTCATGTTTTCTCTGCTTTTAATTGAGATTTTTATCCTTTGTTTTAGCTCCTTGTAATGGATGTGTTTTGTTTTAGTCTGTGCAGCACTTTGGGCAGCTCCCATGCTGCATTTTAAATGTGCTATATAAATAAACTATGCTATGCTATGCTATCTATCTATCTATCTATCTATCTATCTATCTATCTATCTATCTATCTATCTATCTATCTATCTATCTATCTATCTATCTATCTATCTATCTATCTGTCTATCTGTCTGTCTGTCTGTCTGTCTGTCTGTCTGTCTGTCATCCATTTATCTATTCATCCATCCATCCATCCATCACCTTTACTTTAAGACCCACCCCCTCAGTCTCTTTCTGCTCTGATTGGTCAGCTGATTGGTTGTGGGTAATCTAACACCTGTCTGACATCACGCAGTAAATATTCTCCAATGTAAAGGAAGACATCTGCAGAACAAACACAGCCCCCTTCCCAACACCCTGATGATCAAGAAGGACCTGGCTGCAGCACGCAGAAAGGGGCGGGGTCGGGCCAGTTGTCAGACCCATACCATATTTAGAAAATGCAACACTTACGTTCCAGACCTGAAGGGGCGCTATAACTAATGTCACCTCAAAGGCAAGATTGAGGTCGGAGAGGGTCATTGATTGACCAGTTTTTGTTAAGGTTCCATATCATGCTTCTCTCTCTGGCACTCGCAGAGTACAGGCGCTTCCCTTGTTGCTCCCTTATCTTATTTTTCCCAAGGCTCTTTGTCCTGTCTGCCCACAGAGCACTTCTCTGCATTTCTTCTGAAAAACCCTATTTTTTAACAATGGACTTGATAAATTGGTCATTCAACGCGATTGATAAGATTTTTTCAACAATGAAAGCGGAGCAGGGGGCTCCCACTTGCCCGCAAGGGACACACCCGGCAGGGTATATACTGGATTCCTGGAAGGAGTGGAAGATCATATGCCTCTCCCAGCAGTCCATTGAGGATGTTGAAGATGTGTGGATGTTTGGCCTGATGATCACTGGATTTCTTCTGATTGGAGTGGGAGGATATCTGGTTTTCTGGAAATTTGGGAAGATGGGAGCGATTGGAGGGCGACCCGCACTCACGGAAAGCACCGTCCGTGTGGAGACCTCACAAACTGGGACGTTACTCGAGGTGAATTGTAAGCTGGACAATGTTCTAGCTGCAATACCGGTATTAGTGCGCAAAATGGATGTCATCTCGGAGAGGGTCACCGGACGGTATGGACAAGTTTAAAAACCAAAGGACTTGAATGATCAGTTTAAAGACTAAAGGCAGAGAGGAAGATTATCTCTGCCTGACCCAAACAAAGTCTTGTTATCCTAATCTGACGCCATAGCAGCCTTCAAGATGCTAACAACAAACCCCCACGAAGGAATGCAGACAGATGCTGTGAAAACCCTCTACCCCCCCCCCCCCCCCCCCCCCTTCAGATTGGTGGACTTCAGCCTGGCGTGGTCATCAACCTGCAGGAGTCAAATGAATCTCCTACCATCTTTATGCAGATGACATCCAACTGTACGTCTCCTTTAAGCCCCATGAGATGTCTAAGCTGCAGCTGTTACACACCTGCTTAGACTCTATCAAAACCTGGATGGTGGGAGCTTTCTTCAGCTGAATGAAGATAAGACTGAGATCCTCATCTGTGCCCCAGACAAGCTGGTTCCCAAAGTCAGAGACTCTCTTGGTCAGCTTGCTTCTTACACCAAACCTTCCGTCAGGAATCTTGGCGTGACCTTTGACCCAGCTCTCACCCTGGATTCTCATGTCAGTTCTCTTGTTCGCTCTTCCTTCTTCCATCTCAGGAACGTTGCTAAGCTGAGTCCCATTCTGTCCCGCTCTGAACTTGAGACAGTTCTCCACACCTTCATCTCCTCACGCTTAGACTACTGTAACTCTCTTTTCACGTGTCTGAGCAGAACCTCCCTGAACCGTCTACAGGTGGTTCAGAACGCCTGTGCTCGGCTTCTGACCAAGTCCTCCAAACACACCCACATCACCCCGCTTCTCCTCCAGCTTCACTGGCTGCCAGTCAACTTCAGGGTTCATTTCAAGATCCTGGTTCTGGTCTATAGGGCCTTACATGGACAAGCACCATCTTACATTGGTGATCTTCTTAGTCCCTACACCCCCAGCAGGTCCCTGAGGTCCAGGGTTAGGGCTAGACCAAAGGTGACAGATCATCTGCTGCTGTGGCCCCCAGACTCTGGAACTCTCTCCCCCTGAGCCTGAGATCAGTGGACACAGTGGTCTCCTTTAAACTCACCTGTTCAGGCTTTGGTGGGACCTTCATCTCCTCCCTCTCCTTTTTCTGATCTTATTCATCCTGTCCCAGGATCCATTCATTCTCATAGGAGGCGCTACCCTGTGAGCGACTCCTGACACGGCTCGGTGTGAATGACTTTGTTTGCCTCTGCTTGATAAGATGTTTGATGTTTTTGTACACCTGTTTTAGACCACGTACGCTCAACAGGATGCTTGGAACTAACGCGCTGTATGCGGCCATTTCTTGGCTCCTGATTACGAGTTTCACCCCGCTAAATGGACTCTGCACACAGACAACTCAGCCTCTCCCCACTTACCCAAGAAGGCTTGTCTACTCGTGGGGAGACCTGCTGGTGCTAAATCGAGCACACCCGGGGACTGCTCAGTCCGACCTCCCTTCAAGGAATACTATACCACTGGAGTTACTTCGGGGGAGATGACGGCGGCGCACATGCAGGAAAAGAGGATCAAGAGGAGGCATACGGAATCGAATGAGAAGAAGAGGTAGTTGGTAGCTACTTGTTTGGGCTGGGGGAGGTTGTTGCTCCCCCAGCTAAAGATTTTGTTTCTAATAGAATTAATTTTACTTGTAAAAAATCCCATGAAGTCATTGCTGCTGAGGGCTAAAGATGGCTCAGAGCTATGATTCTGTGTAAGTTTAGCAACTGTACTGAAAAGAAATGTAGGATTATGCTTATTCTCCTCAATTAATGCTGAAAAATAAGCAGTTCTAGTTTGTTGAAGCTTATTTTTATAAAGCACTAGACTATTTTTCCAGGATAGGTAGGCCTCCTCATGGTGCGTAGAGCGCCATGTTCTCTCCAATTACCTAGAGTTTTGTTTTAAGGCTCATAGATGAGAGTTAAACCAGGGAGCCAACTTCCTGTCTCTAATTACCTCCTTTTTTAAAGGGACAACATCATCTAATGCCACACGTAAAGAGGAATCAACATGATGAACTAAGGCATCAATTTGTGAGGGGCTAGAACTGAAAATATTGCCCTCTGCTACGTGCCTCTGAGATGCTGAGGACAGTAAAGATGGAACAGTTGATTTAAAAGACGCAACTGCGTTGTCAGATAGAGACCGACTATAGTGAAATTTACTTTCATGTCTCGAGAACTCAGTTATAAAAAACTCAAAGGTTATCAGAAAGTGGTCCGAGAGGACTGGATTATGTGGGAAGATCGTTATTTCCTCACACTCTATGCCATAAGTCAGAACAAGGTCCAATGTATGATGGCAGGAGTGGGTGGAGCTATGTATTCTTTGAGTAAAACCAATTGAGTCTAAGATATTACTAAAGGCTACATTGAGGCAATCATTTTCGATGTCCACATGAATGTTGAAATCCCCCACAACAATGACCTTATCAGTATTTAGCACCAAATCAGATAAAAAATCAGAGATCTGATCCAAAAACTCAGAATAAGGGCCTGGTGGACGATATAAAACTACAAACAAGAGTGGTTTTACAGTTTTGCTATCTGGATTAGGAAAACTAAGAATAAGATGTTCAAACGAACTGTAACTATTAATCTGTAAGGGACTGATTAATAAGTCCGAATGAAAAATGGTTACTACTCCTCCTCCTCGCCCTGTACTTTGAGCAATATGATGATTTAAATAATTTGAAGAAGTCGAATCGTCTAAGCTAACATAAGGCATTAGACACAAGTCTCCAAAGCAGCCGGCTTCGGATTAAACATTGATGAATGTGAAATATTTGCTTTCCATGAACAATTTGAAAACTCTGTCCGTGATGTGGCGTGGTAACTGTTTTATGGTTTATGGTATTTCATGGTTACGGGGAGACATCACTGTATTTGCAAGGGTTAGGGTTAGGAAATAGAAAGTTTATCAAGTACGTACATACCCATCTTATTCACTCCAGATCTCAGACAGACTCTACTTAAATGAACTTAGACTCGGTGGTATGAATTCTAACTTTATTTGGAAAAATAAAAGCTGGTATATTAGCAAAGCTGATGTGGAAAATGTTTGATTTCACTTGGAAAACATTTTGTACACGGGTGTAAATTCTTCAGGGTTGAGCCTCACAGATGGAGAGGGACCTGGTCTGTTTTACAGATGTTTCTGTAGGAAACATCTAACCTTCGAGAACAAGGTCCTCATGTTTTCCTGTTATTTTGTTTTGTGTTTGTTGTCGTCGTTTGGTGGAAGCTGATTCAACACGTTCAGACGCTGACTGATTGGCCCGTCTGCTCTATAATAACACTGATCTAGAACAACAACATGGGTCTGACACCTGCCCGACTCCACCCCCTTCTGCGTGCTGTAGCCAGGTGCACTTGTGAAGATCTACGTCTTTGATCCAACAGGAAACAGGAAGTGGAAAGCAGCTGTCTCACATGACCAACCTGCAGAAGTCAGAGGTACCTACCACGCTGTTTACATCACTCTGGATGATCGGACCATCTCGGACGTAGATGTTTAATTCATGATCATCCAGATACCTGCGCAGGTAGTCAAGGGAACAGGAGCAGGCCCAGGGATTGGCTGAGAGGTACAGGTATGGCACTTCCTCTTTCTGGCTGAACCAATCATCAGGCATCTCTTTGATCTGAGAAAGAAGAAGAAAAACCTTTAGGCCCCCTACTGGCACTCAGCAGTAGTGCAGCTCACCTTGTTGCTCTCCAGGTAGAGCGTTTCGATGGCTGTCAGAGGGTGCAGCATGAGGTCAGGCAGGACTGAGATGTGATTGGCTGATAGGTCCAGGATCTAAGGGATGGACAGGTGATCTGTTATCAGTTTGTTTAGATCTGGGACAGGTTCATCATCTCAGGTAGGGAACAGACACGGTTTCTCTTCAGGAGTAGATGTTCTGCTCATGTTCTGACCTCCAGCTTACTGAGCCCAGAGAAGGTGTGGTCCTTCAGGGAAGAGATGGAGTTATTTTCTAGGTAAAGTTCAGTCAGAGCAGGACATGCTGTGAAGGATCCATCAGAGAGGAACGTCAGAAGGTTTGATCCCAACCGGAGAACGCTGAGGTTCGGCAGGACCACAGCAGGACTTTGGGTCACCTCAGGAACCTGGAGAACAAAGCATGGATTCATCTGAGTGATGCTGCAGCCCGACACAATTGGCCTGCTCACAAAATCATCACCTTGTTGGCTGAGAGGTCGATCTCATAAAGCCCTGAATAGATCTGGAAGGAGGTCCAGGACAGGGCGGAGAACAGGTTGTTTGGAAACAACAGAACCTAAAGGTAGAAAGAACATTTATAGAACTCGATGTCTTATGGTTTCCAAACAGGAAGTGCATGTCCATCACAACTTCCTGTTTCCTGCTCAGAAGAACCAGGACCAGGGCTCTTATCTCGTGGTGGGTTGAGCTGCTGCTGGGTTCAGATAACAACGCCATTTCCTTCAGAGCAGCGCTGGAGCCCACCCAGTTAAAGATGGCCGCCACAGCTGGTTAACATCATCCCTAACCAGTGAAACATCTGATCATGTGACTCCACCTGGTGAAGGTCAAAGGCATTGGGTCCACACTGGGATGACCCGAATGTGGACTTGAACCCACAACCTCCCGGTCTCAGGGTGGACACTCCCACTAGGATGTGTGTAGATGCTGGTTCACCAGGAGGCTGTTCTTCCATGTAGGAGAACCCCGTTTCACTGACCCCCCAGGGCGCTTTACCACACAATCCTTCATTCACACACTGCTGGTGAGGAGACAGCAGACAGAAGCCTCTGACCACCACCAGCAGCTGGGGGGGGGGGAGGTGGGGGGTGGGGTGGGGGGGACATGTCTTGCCCAAGGGCAACACGACTGCGGCAGACTGAGCAGGACTCAAACCTAAAACCCATTGGTTATGGCACTCCATCGCCCCGTAATAAGTTCAACACCTGAGCCCCCCCCCCCCCCCACACACACACACACACACACACACTACTGTTTACCTAAATGATTTCATGAAAACTGTGTAAAAAAATTCTCTTTTATTTTGACTAAAAGTTAATTTGTAACGAGTTTTATTCCTCAGGTCATTTTAAAGCCCTCCTAAAAATGGCGCCCCACCCCCTCAGGTGGGATTGCATAAAGTCGTTATGCAGCTCCGTCAGAGGGTCATAGAGCTGGGCTCTGATTGGTCAGTTGTTAGCGAGTGACAGAGTTTTAAATTGAGTTACCATGTAAAGCTGTAACTCTTCTGTTAACGATCAGAAGAACGGAGACCTGGAATCCCAGACTGACTCATCCTAGACGCTCTGCTTCACTTGTTTGGAACCGTTTTGTTGCCGTACCTGGATCTCATGGTCCAGCCCTGCTGGGAGGTCCCTGAACCCCGCTCCAGTGCAGTTCTCCCTCAGCCGGTGGTCTTTATCCCTGTCGCTGTGGCAACCAGCCACTGACGTAACCACGGCAACGTATGCCAGCAGGAGGAGGAAGAGCTGCATGTTGACCCTCCGAGGCAGCAGGTCCAAGTGAGTCTGAGCAGAACCAGCATCTGTTACTGCTCCAACAGCAAGTCCTGCTGCTCTTCCTGCGTCGTCACAGACGTTATCTGAAGCTCCAAACTTCCTGCTGTCTCAAACGCTCCCGAATGTCTTCACTTTAACTTTTTCTTTTATTCTGGTGGAAACACAGGGGCGTGTCTGTAATTCTGTTAGGGGTGGCCAGGTAGGACCACACAATGTAAACAAGGGTGGCACATGTAAATGATGTATTGCTAAGATTAGAAGCATCCTTTCCAGGAGTGATGCTGAAAAACTAGTTCATGCATTTATTACATCAAGACTGGATTACTGTAATTCATTACTCTCAGGAAGTCCACAGAATGTAGTTAAAAGTCTTCAGCTTGTCCAAAATGCTGCAGCTAGAGTTCTGATGAGAATTAAAAAGAGAGATCGTATCTCTCCTGTCTTAGCTTCCCTACATTGGCTACCTGTTAAATTCAGAATAGATTTTAAGATCCTTCTTCTCACATATAAAGCTCTTAATAATCAAGCTCCATCATACATCAGTGATCTGATTGTTCCATACGTTCCTAACCGAGCACTTCGCTCTCAGACTGCAGGTCTACTGGTGGTTCCCAGAATATCTAAAATTAGGATGGGAGGCAGATCTTTTAGTTATCAGGCTCCTCTCCTGTGGAACCAGCTCCCAGCTTTAGTCCGTGAGGCAGACACCTTGTCTACATTTAAGACTAGGCTTAAAACATTTTTATTTGATAGGGTCTATGGTTAAAATCTGATGTTAGCCTAAATCTGGACAAGTGGGGGAGTAGAGGGAGGTGGAGTGTACAGTCGGTAAAGACGACTCTCCCTCGCCCTGACTCCAACATGCCTCCATCTAAATAGGATAGATTATCCAGAGTTATCTCTGTAGTTATGCTGCTATAGGCTTAGACTGCTGGAGGACACACTGACCACTTTCCACACTCTACTGCTTTCTTCTACAGTCTGCTCTTTAACTGTATTATTTCCTGCTATTTCAGCTGTTAACTTTATTTTCTCTCCAAGTGTTTTTCTCCCCAGAAGAAGCTACAACGATGTTCTGCTGAGCTGTGGTGGCCTCATGGAGGGGGCCATCGACTAGCACACTGCTGCTAACCACTTAAACATTCTCCCTCTCCTGATAATAACTTTTTGTTTTCCTTGACGTTGGATGTGCTACTACTAGTTTACCCGTTTAATTATAGATCCACTAGAATAAATACAATAAAGTTTATCTCTCACCAAATAGAATATTTACCAAGACATCACAATATAACTATAGACACATTATTGTGTGTGTGTGTGTGTGTGTGTGTGTGTGTGTGTGTGTGTGTGTGTGTGTGTGTGTGTGTGTGTGTGTGTGTGTGTGTGTGTGTGTGTGTGTGTCTTCTCCATCCCCAGTGAGTCGTGGAGGATGGCTGCTTATACTGAGCCAGGATTCTCTGGATTTTTCTTCCTGTTAAAAGGGAGTTTTCCTCTCCACTGTCGCTGCATGCTTACTTAGTATTGTGTGAGGACACATCATGTAGCTGCACCCAAAATGTAGAATTTGAGAGAAAAAAACATTGTTGAAGAGAAAAACTGGTTTAATTAAATGGTGCCAGCCCTCCCCAACCAGCTCCTAGTTTATAAATGAAATCCCTTACTTTTCTTTAGTATTTGACATTTTGGATGTTATAATTTTTATTAGCTGCCTGTAAAATTAATCATAATAAATTTATTTACAAAATAAAGAATGCTGAGAAATTTTGTTCATCCAACAAGTTTGTCTTAAATATGATCACAGGTGGACAAACCCTGCTGAAAAAACAGCATAGACCAGCTTAGGTTGTGTTTTAGTGCTGGTGGACCAGTCCAGGGTGGGCTTCTGGACCAGGACGGAAAGCATACTGGTCCAGAATCCAATTACCAGCATCCCAAACACAACATAGCACAGAAGTTCCACTTTGGCTAAGCTTTGGTGGAGGAAAAGGCTAGCGAGCTTTATTGTTCTGCGAACAAAAAGGAAAAATAAAGGAGGAGGCTGTATGTTATGCAGACGACTCTTTTTCAAAACCTTGTTGCCCTCAAATCCACCGAAGCAGCTTTTTCAAATTACTGCTCCAAAAACTGAGCAGAGGAGGAGAAACATGGATAACTCATCATCAATGCTTGTTTGGCAGAAGACACGTATATTTTAAATCTACATCAGAGATGAAGGTCTTGTACCCAGCTGGTCAGGCTGCTGCATGCATCACATGGGGCAGCAGCAGCTCAACAGGTAGAGCGGGTTGTCCAGAAATCGGAAGGTTGCAGGTTCAATCTCGGCTCTGGACAGAGAATCCTGCTGTTGTGTCCTTGGGCAAGACACTTAACCCACCTTGCCTGCTGGAGGTGGTCGGAGGGACTGGTGGCGCCAGTGCTCGGCTGCCTCGCCTCTGTCAGTGCGCCCCAGGGCAGCTGTGGCTACATGGTAGCTCATCAACATCAGTGTGTGAATGTGTGTGTGAATGGATGAATGATACACTGTAGTGTACAGCACTTTGGAGTCCGTACTCTGAGAGGCGCTGTACAAGTGCGGGTCATGATTTTATTTCCTGGTGAATCTACAGGTGAATTTGGTTTGTGCCAGTAAATTCAACTTAAAAGGTGAAATGAATAAATGAGACTCTCCATGCAAAGCCAGATCTTTCAAGACCTTGTTATAATTGTGATTACGGCTTACAGCTTAAGGAAACCCCACATTCAAAATACCAGACAAGTAGAAAAAAAGCATCAAATCAACAGAACGAGGATTTTGAACAGAGAAATGACAGACCTGCATTTGTACTCAGTACTTGGTTTAAGCCAGTTTCTAAGAAAACTGGTCTCACTGTTCACCGCCAAATCTCCAAACACCACACTGGGATGCACAAAACAATAGTTCCCGCTCCAAGTTCTACTCCGACACAATCCAGTCCAGTTCTAACCCCGCACCTCATTCTCCATGTTCAGCAAACTATCCCTGATAGGTAATTTGATTTTATCCCATATTACCTTAAAGGACGACACACCCTTTGATAGAGAGAGAGTAAATTGATTATTTGTAATGTCCATGTGTGTGGCTCAACCAGCCCCCACTCTGCTCCAACCTCAAAGCTTTCTCCTCACCTACTCTGTATACCTGCATTCTCCAATTATCTGTTAGGTAATATTTAACCTCCATAACCCTGGAACCTGAAATAAACACACATGACAACACGGAAGACATTTTACCCTGAGTCTCCAAAACATGGAGAGTTAACGCAGAGAAACCTCCTCCGAGGCTTCCCCACGTCACTCCCCTGTGCTCCCAGTTTGTCAGGGGCTTTATTCACAAATGGATGGGGGAGAAGGCTGGCCTTCTCAAGTTACAGAGGTACAGAGGTTTCTCAATCAACATCCTTGCTCAACCTTTTCATGAACAGCCAACACAGAGATTCATGATGTGTAATGGGCATCTTTTAGGCCTCAAAAAGGTACATTTATAAAAATACCCAACAATCCTGAAACACAGAAGAGGTTTCTTTTTTACCTTGCTGCTGACAGTTTCGTCCACGGCTGCGAACTTCCTCAGAGCTGACGCTGATGGTGGCGTCACTTCCTACTCCGTTTAAGGGCAACATGTCAACCAAATGCCATCACACAAATTTCCATTCAAAACTGGCATCAGTTCATAGTCAGCTCGCTTCCTCTCTGTCTACTGGACCCACCACCTTATTGCTTCTCCACCTTCACCCCATCTGATTTAACCAAGCTCCTCACATCCATGAAATTCACCACCCCATCCCCTCCTCTCATCGAAACCTGTCTTCCCTCTCATTTCCAGTATCATAAACACCTCCCTCACCACTGGATCTGTCCTACCTTTGCTTAAACTCGACTCCGTTACTCCCATTCTAAAAAAAACCGGTCTGAACCCAGACTCTAAGGATAGTTTCAGACCCATCTCCAACCTCCCACTACTCTCAGAGATCCTGGAACACTCAGTCACCACTCAACTCCAGCAATACCTATGTGGCAGTGTGAGCGTCCCGTCACAGTGTCCCGATTGATCATTCGCCCTGGCTACTTGGCCAAGGGGACATCCCTTTGGCTGACTGGTTAGCGCGCGCGACGCTCACCCCGAAGTCTGGGGACTGAATCCCGCCCGGGCCCTCGTTTCTCCACCTTGCCACACCTACAATCCTGCCAACTCTCTGAAACTTTCCAACCTGATTTCCGCGCTCATAACAGCACTAAAACTGCTTTACTGAAAGTAACCAACAACCTCTTGATTGCTTCAGACTCTGGTACCCTCACCATTCTCCTCCTCCTTGACCTCAGCTCAGCTTTCAATACCATTGATCACTCCATCCTCCTTAACCGTCTTCAATCATCTATTGGTATTACAAGCTCAGCACTCGACTGGTTCACTTCTTACCTCTCCGACCGCCACGACTATGTCTCTGTCAACAACTGCACCTCACACACTGCCCCTGTCACCCATGGTGTTCCCCAGGGCTCTGTGCTGGGCCCCTCCTCTTTATCATTTAGATGCCCCCCCCCCCCCCCCCCCGTCACATCTTACACATAACATGGTCTTCATTTTCATTGCTATGCTGACGACACACAACTCTACATCTCCAGCAAATCAATCACCCCAGCCATTCTTTTCACGATCTCAGGATGCTTCTCTGACATAAAACATTGGATAGACACCAACTTCCTCAAATTGAACTGCTCCAAAACAGACCTCATCACTGGTCCCAAATCTCTCCTGCCCTCTGTTCAAAATATTTCCCTCAAATTGATGGTCTCGCAGTGACTCCCTCCTCTACAGTCCGTAATCTCTGCGTCATCTTTGACTCCTCCCTTTCCTTTAAGTCTCGCATCAACAATATCACCAGGGTATCGTTCTTCCATCTTCGCAACATTGCCCGTCTCTGTCCATCCCTCACTGACTCCACTGCCGAAACACTCATCTTTGCCTTCATAACCTCTAGACTGGACTATTGTAACAGCAAACTTTATGGACTTCCTTCCTCAGCTTTACAAAAACTGCAATACATCCAAAACTCAGCAACACGTTTACTCACCCACACCCACTGCAGGGACCACATAACTCCGGTACTCAACCACCTCCACTGGCTGCCTGTTCCATACCGGATCCATTACAAATTGCTCCTCACTCAATAACCTTGCGCCATCCTATCTGACGGAACATCTCCATCGCCATTCTCCTATCTGGCACCTTCGTTCTGACTCCAACCTTCTTTCTCCTTTCAAAACAGTACACCGCACCATGGGGAATCGAGCCTTTGCAGCCGCTGCCCCTACACTTTGGAACGCCCACCCACTAAACATGCCGTCTCTCTCGCTCTTCTTTGAAATCACTGCTTAAAACCCACTTCTTCAAATTGGCCGTCCCCTAATACTGACCCAGCATGCCCCCAGTTTTGTTCATTATTTTACATTTTGTTTCATTATGAGCTTATTGCCATTTTGTGAAGCGTCTTTGAGCGCTATATAATTCTGATGTATTATTATTATTATTAGTTAAAGGTCTTGATCTGTGTGGACAGCCATGTCTGTTTAAAATTTTCTTGACTAAATCTATGTGCACAGAGCACACAGGCCAAAGGCTTCCGTCCTGTGTAGACTCATGTTTTACTCATGATTTTAATACATTTGCACTGGTCTTACTCTGGGGAAACAAGCTCTGGTGTGCCTGTTTGAGTACAGTGATCTCAACTGGAGGACAAAGTATCTTCAGATGGCAGGATTCAGCCTTGTTTCCTGATATGTGGACATATCTCCTCTGATTGGCAAACAGCAATACGACTCTACCACTGACTGTTTGCTCTGCAACGTTGATGTTTTTTGTTTTATGATGTCCATAAATACACAAGTCTGAAGGAGTTTTGCTGTGTGGTGGAGTTGCTAATGCCAATGGTTAGCTTCTACTAGCCGAGACGTTCTCTGCTGTTTCTTGGACGCTAAACCAACAACAGTTGCGAGCCAAGATGGATGACGTGAATGTCAACAGTGGCTGTTTCTCCATACCTAAGGATGCTAGTACGTTCTTGTGTGCTTAACAAGTAGAAATGTCCCGATACAGCTTTTGCACTTCCGATGCGATGCCGATATTTCAGCCTTCAGTGCTGACCGATACCGATATCAATCTGACATATCAGCATAAATCATACATACATGTACCTTTTTCATAGTGTGGAACGTATGAAAGGCTTGATCAAGTGATATTACTCAAAACAGAAAACAAAATCCAGCAACAGTAAGTGTAAAAATCTGACCAATGTTTTATTAACCTTTGGCAGCATAAACGTGAACAGCTGAGGTTGGGGACAAATGCACGATGAGGTTGGACGTCTTAGTCTCCCTCGATTCTGTTCCACCACGGGAAACTCGTGCATGACAAGTGTTGCACTGAGCCAAACTGTCTTTTCTGGACTTCAATGAAAAATTCTGCCACATGGTCGACATTGTTCCGTTCTACTTTGTAAGCACACACTGTTCTGATCACGAGATCCGGACGCAGATGGATAGAAACGCTGGAATGGAATTGAAAGCGGAATGTACCGCTACTATCGGACATTTTTGATGCAGTCCGATAATAATCCGATACGGTGTTTTTGGGCCGATATCAATATCGGAACGGGACATCCCTATTGACAAGTATGATTTTGACTAGTACAGCAGAAAGTCTGTAGTACCAAGTATGGGAGGATGAGGCCAGTACTTGGAACAGAACAGTACCGCGTTGCTACGATTTAAAAAATGACCTGACATAAAAATAAATAAATGTCCCTAAAATAACAATGAATACATATTATTTGTACAAGATTTGGTCCCCTTTTGATCAAAATTCACAAAACACCTGCATTTCCTGCAGTTAACAACAAACAAAAAAACAAAACACAAAAAAGCTTGGCTCCTTGAAGAGCCTGGTGTGGTGGAGAACCTGGCACCGTGAGCTCTTTATCGCTGCTTGTCTCAAGTGGCCCATGGTCACATTTGCCACAGATCCATTCATGCTTCCCTGTGACAGGATGAAGCACTCCCACCCACATGTTTACATTTGGGGTTACGTGAGTACAAGTGGTCACAATCAAAAGGGGCTGTCAGTCTGTCACCTGGTGACCCAGAGGAGGGCTGGGTAGCTGTAGTTTTAGTTGACCGCTACAGTCACATTACAGTTCAGTTAGTTTGACTTTGTTTACATAATCATGTTTTGTTTAGGATTTGACCCAAGTCAAGTTGTTCCTGTAAACAGTAAATGGCTGTAATGAATGAGCGACAGAGGCACAGGAGTTAAGGGCTCGCCCCGTAATTGGTAGGTTGTAGGTTCGGGCCCCACTCAGTCTGTCGCTGTCGTTGGTCAGGACACTTAACCCCCTTTGCCTGCTGGTGGTGCTCGGAGGGACCGGTGGCACCTGTGTGCGGCAGACTCGCCTCTGTCGGTGTGCCCCAGGGCAGCTGTGGCTACAATGTAGCTCATCACCACTAGGGTGTGAATGTGTGTGTGAATAGCTGAATTACTGATAGTGTTGTAAAGGGCCTTGGGGGGGTTCCAGGACTCTAGAAGGCATAATATCAAATACAGGCCATTTACGATTCAAATGGAGAAACGCATATCACCTCTCTATCAGTTAATGAGAAGCTGACCGTGCGTCCAACAAACCTAGAGACCTCGTTAGCGTTTGTGCAAGGGTTGTGTCCTGTGTGGACTCTTGTGACTGACTAAGTTTTTGTCCACAGAATTCACAAGCAAAAGGTTTCTGTCCTGTGAGGACTCTTATGTGATTTTTTAATGTTGTCCTTTGGCTAAATTTTTGTCCACAGAGTTCACAGGAAAAGACTTGTGTCGAATGTGGACTTTCATATGACTGTTTAAATGTGTTCTTTGGTTAAATCTTTGTCCACAGAGCTGACAGGAAAAAGGCTTCTCTCCGGTGTGGACTCTTATGTGATTGTTTAAATTTGACTTATGACTAAATCTTTGTCCACAGAGCTCACAGACAAAAGGCTTCTGTCCTGTGTGGACTCTCATGTGACTGTTTAAATGTGTCCATTGGTTAAATCTTTGTCCACAGAGCTGACAGGAAAAAGGTTTATGTCCGGTGTGGACTCTAATGTGACGGTTTAAACCTGTCTTATGACTAAATCTTTGTCCACAGAGCTCACAGGCAAAAGGCTTCTCTCCTGTGTGGACTCCTATATGTCTGGTTAAATCTGTCTTTTGACTAAATTTTTGTCCACAGTGCTCACAGGCAAAAGGCTTCTCTCCTGTGTGGACTCTTATATGTGTGTTTAAACCTGTCTTTTGACTAAATTTTTGTCCACAGAGCTCACAGGCAAAAGGCTTCTCTCCTGTGTGGACTCTTACATGTCTGTTTAAATCTGTCTTTTGACTAAATTTTTGTCCACAGAGCTCACAGGCAAAAGGCTTCTCTCCTGTGTGGACTCGCATGTGCCTGTTTAAATGTTCCTTATGACTAAATCTTTGTCCACAGAGCTCACAGGCAAAAGGCTTCTCTCCTGTGTGGACTCGCATGTGCCTGCTTAAATGTTCCTTATTACTAAATCTTTGTCCACAGAGCTCACAGGCAAAAGGCTTCTCTCCTGTGTGGACTCTTACATGTCTGTTTAAATCTGTCTTTTGACTAAATCTTTGTCCACAGAGTTCACAGGCAAAAGGCTTCTCTCCTGTGTGGACTCGCATGTGCCTGCTTAAATGTTCCTTATGACTAAATCTTTGTCCACAGAGCTCACAGGCAAAAGGCTTCTCTCCTGTGTGGACTCGCATGTGCCTGCTTAAATGTTCCTTTTGACTAAATCTTTGTCCACAGAGCTCACAGGAAAAAGGCTTCTGTCCTTTGTGGATAATCACATGTTTGTTTAAACTTGATATTCCCCTAAATATTTTTCCACAGTTGTCACAACTAAATGAGTTTGGGTCTTTCTGGACTTTCCTGCCTGAGTCTAGATGCTGATTCACTCTAACACATTTCTTATTAACCAAGCTGCCCAAAGACCTTGTTGCTGAATGACCCAACACTCTCACATGTTTCTGGAGAGAACACTTGTGGAGAAACTGTTCACCACACTCAGGGCAGCTAAAGGACTTGTTAACAGTGTTGACATCCAACGCAGAAGACCTGCTCTCATTCCCATCTTTGTCTCCGTCTCCAGAGTCAGACAGCTCAGAGTCTATACTCGAAACATCATCCTCTTCATCATCTCCACTAACTTCAGTCTCTGAAGAATCAGATGTCTGTTCATGAGGGTTCAGATCTGGGTTCCTGCTAGTTCCTGCTCCTCCACCAGCTGAGCTGCTGGTTGGAACATCTCTGTCTTCTATCTGCTGCTGATGAAGCTGTGAGATCAGAGGTTTCTCTTCATCATCCTCACTCTTTATAGTAACTACAGTGACTGGAAACCTGGCAGCATCCGTCTCCTCCTTCAGATGGAGCTGCTCTCCCTCCAGACTGGTCCAGAGTTCCTCCTGTTCATCCTTTATGTGGAGGTGTTCTGGGTCCTGCTGGTCCTCACCAGGAGCTTCTTCTTTAACCAGCGCCAGCTGTTGAACATCTGTAGGAAACATGATGTGAATTACTGACTGCTGTAACTGTAGTGGTCACACATAACAGAACTGTTAATGAACTGACTCCTAAAACTCTGGACTGAGCTCCGGTTTCATGTGAGGGAAGAGTACACAAAGCTGAGAAATTGTCTGCCTTGTTGGATGACTATGGCTTCTCAGAATGCTGACCAGCATCACATTTACTCGCCTTTTTCCCAGGTGCATAATATCAACATAGGACTTCTACAGATAAAAATTACAAGGCACTTCATAAAGTACAGGTGGGCCGTTTCTATGGATACGCCTTCATAAAATGGAATGGATGGTGATATTAACGTCCTGTTTGTCGCACATTAGTATACGTGAGGGGGCAAACTTTTCAAGATGGGTGGTGACCACGGTGGCCATTTTGAAGGTGGCCATCTTGGATCCAATTTTCATTTTTTCAATAGGAAGACGGTGATGTGGCACGTCAGACTTATTGGGAATTTCACAAGAAACACAATGGTGTGCTTGGTTTTAATGTAACTTTGCTATTTCAGGTATACTGTATACTTCTACATCACTGTAGAATATTTTCTACAGTTAAAAAATGATTTTTAATCAGTATATGTCCAAACTGCCCTTACATTATCATGAGATCATGTAGGATGTTGCGTAGTTAATCTACATAACTAAAATTTAAGCTGTAGCTATTCAGCTTTGTTAAACCCTGAGAAAGATCAAACAAATTGGTAATGAAACTTATATCATGTATAGATATCCACGGATATTTATATAATGGATAGAAGTTCATACACCAACTGGCTTGGTCTATATTTAATCAAAAGATAAATATTTAACTTAAGAGATTTAAATTAACAGCAAAAGTTTATTTATTAATTCAGAAGATTTAAAGAGATCTTTGCTCGTTCAGTGACCAAATGCACCACTCTGTGTTTTATTTCAAAGAAGAGTCAGGTTTAAAAAGTTAAGAATTTATTACCAAAGATGACAATTTAAAGGACAATTCATAAATGACAATTTATAAAAGCGTTGGTATTAAAACTTGGTATTTGGATGTGTGAATGTAGGTCTCAGAAGGTTTTTATCTTAGCGAGAGAAAAACGCGTTCTGGGTGAAAGAGTTTGGTTTGCAGTTAAGCTAAATTATTTCTTAATAAAACAGGCATCCAGACGCAATCTTGTGTTCTACCTCACCGTTCAGACGACCCTCTGTTCAGATCCGGAGGTCAAGGGAGGATTTTGATCAGCCTCTGGGTACTCGGTCCGGTAGGGGAGACCAGTGGTACCGACTCTCTGGTCCTAGAGTTGCCGCAGGCACACAGGCGTGGACTTGGTTTGTGTCTGAGCAGATTCTTAAGGAATCTCGTAGCGTAAGCTTTGCTGCAGATGGCGTTTCCGTTGAAGCAATGCTATCGGCGTGACAAAAAAGCTTTACTAGAGGTTTCGAACGGCCGACTCAATCCTCTTGACTCTCGTTGCCACGAAGAGAATTTGGTGAGCTCAAGAACTGAACTTGAACTGAGGAGTTAGGTTTTAAGAGACGGCCGGTAATCTTATTCTAACAAATTAGATTTGACATGTTAGAGGGTGGGACTTAACATACCTCGGAACACACCCTCTCAGAGACAGAAAGCTCTGGGTTGTCATGTGACAAAGACATGTGAGCGGAGTTAACCTTAACCTGATTACTGTGTTCTGCATGGTGTGTATAAGTGCACATGATCTTCTTGTCACAGTTAAACATTACTGATTATCATAAATAATAATTATTATTAACCAAAGAATAATAATTCACTTCAGTAATTAAGTACATTTATAATGAACCTTGATGATTATTTATGAACATTGTAATAAACAGTGAAAAGAGTTTATTAAAAATGATTCTTTTAAATCTTGAAGTGTCCTTCGTCTTGCGGATGGAACAGCAGTCAGATAAAGGCAGTCAGATTAAAGGGGTGGTTGACCGACATTCAGTCTCCTGTGATGGATAATCTGTAGATAGAAGTGCAGCCAGGACAGCTTGACCCAGCTGAGGAAGTGTGACATTTGGGTCACAAATGAGGCCATTCATGTCGCTACAAGGATCCTAACTTGTAATTAGTTTTAAATGTACTTTAAACATGTGCTGTGTTTAATGAACACTGTTTGTTTTCAAGAAGGCTTCATTTGGTTAGCCAGCAGAGTTTAACATGCTTTGACCTTTAGCCTGGTGCTGCACAATCAGTAGGCTTTGATCACTGGACCTCAGGGACCTGCTGGGGGTGTAGGGACTAAGAAGATCACCAATGTAAGATGGTGCTTGTCCATGTAAGGCCCTATAGACCAGAACCAGGACCTTGAAATGAACCCTGAAGTTGACTGGCAGCCAGTGAAGCTGGAGGAGAAGCGGGGTGATGTGGGTGTGTTTGGAGGACTTGGTCAGAAGCCGAGCACAGGCGTTCTGAACCACCTGTAGACGGTTCAGGGAGGTTCTGCTCAGACACGTGAAAAGAGAGTTACAGTAGTCTAAGCGTGAGGAGATGAAGGTGTGGAGAACTGTCTCAAGTTCAGAGCGGGACAGAATGGGACTCAGCTTTGCAATGTTCCTGAGATGGAAGAAGGAAGAGCGAACAAGAGAACTGACATGAGAATCCAGGGTGAGAGCTGGGTCAAAGGTCACGCCAAGATTCCTGACAGAGGGTTTGGTGTGAGAAGCAAGCTGACCAAGAGAGTCTCTGACTTTGGGAACCAGCTTGTCTGGAGCACAGATGAGGATCTCAGTCTTATCTTCATTCAGCTGAAGAAAGCTCCCACCATCCAGGTGTTGATAGAGTCTAAGCAGGTGTGTAACAGCTGCAGCTTAGACATCTCATGGGGCTTAAAGGAGATGTACAGTTGGATGTCATCTGCATAAAGATGGTAAAAATGTTCCTAAACTCCTTCCTATGAATGAAATTCTGAACGTTCAAAGACCTGATCTAAGCAACGTGCGGCGGCCTCTCGTGCGCTCGTTCCTCCGCACTCGTCTGATGATAAAGCCCACCTGTGCGTACCCAGGTGCTCGTGTCCGTTCTCACTCATTTACACACAGGAACGCCCTCTGTTACCCATATTTGGTCATGCCACATCTCCAGCTCGTGAGGGGGTTCCCTGGTTCTACCCGGAAACAAAAGAGAGGACGTTGTTGTGAGATGGAGACCCTAAAAACCTAAACAAAGGTCAGAGGTCATCAACACTACGGGTCAGAGGAGAGGTTCCTGCCAGGATTAAATGAACGTTAATCTGATCAAGCGTAGAGTAACGGGTTCTCTTTTACATCTAAGGAGTCCTTCTGGATGGAGTCTGAGTGCAGCCAGTCTGGTTACCGTGGCAACGCCTGTGTGAGGGGGAGCAGAGGAGGTTCTCGTAGATGTAAAATAGAACATGGAATCAGATTGGTGCGGTTTATCTGTCGCTGCACGAAGGATCCCAGATCCCAGCGTGGCTCCAGAAGGATCTGCTGTTTCCTCCAGAGGAGCTCTGACAGGACCTTCATAATAACATAGAAACGTTCTTTCATCTCACGCCTCTGAGGCAGAAGCACGAGGGCTTCACAAGGACACAAATATACTATAATCTATAATATTCATCCGATAAAAACACCACATCTGTTCTACAGAGTCAGATTCCTGTCGGCTGTTCCAGCACCAGTCACGCCACTCAGATGTTTTCCCACCATATTAATTATTAAAGGGTAAAATAATTAGTGGATGAGGAACATGTGTGGATGACTGAGACCTTCGGTGTTCACCGTTCCACCACTAGATGTTCCTACATGTGGTATGAAGGTTCCCACACACAGCCACGACATGGTGAACACCGCTCAGTGTGGACGGCTGGTACACGAGGACCAGGAACACGACTTCATCCATTTTATATTTGTGTTTTTAGCCGTTGAAGGTTACAATGCTAGCTTACTGCCTGTGTGTGCACACACACAGGTACATATGTGAACTCACTAGGGGCTGCATGACTTAATTCTGTTTTAAAGTCGACAGTCACGTAATGAAAATCGAGTTGACTTCAACTAGTCGTTGATGACGTCACACACCTGAAACGGCTACTGACGATGGCTGACCAAGCGATATTCCCCCTACGCACGGGGGGGGGGGGGGGGGGGGGGGGGTCCGCTGCAGTTTTTGACAGTAAAAATTGCATCCACATTTTCTAAGTTAAACATCTATTTTTCTGTCCTGCCTGTTTATTATCTTCCTGCATCTCCTCTCAATCCTAAAGAGAAACTGCTACCTGGGTTCATATATATTCACCTCATGAGTTACCTTTGAACTGCAGTTCTAAAAGATCTACCGACCGCAAAAACAGCGGGGTGCTCGCCGGCCACATCGGTTAGGTGCGTCACTGAGGACAAAACAGGTGATGCGCCCCGCTCCACAGCAGCGAAACGCATCAGGCACAAATAAAAGAATAAAAGACAGAACATAAAAGGAAATGAGCCGACATGAACAATCATGTGTTAAATTAGTTTTTGAGGTGGCGACACCTGATTTGATAATGTTACTGTGGCCGTGCTCAGGACGCAGATGTCTGGAGCGTGTCAACAATCAGAGCTTTGCATGCGCAAGCTGGTTAAGGTTAGGATGGGGGTGAGGGGAAGGTTAAATTGCAAGAGGGTAAACGTCACAATTTGGTTAAATGTCCGTTTTACGCGGGTGTCGGTACCGACGCGCAGGGGCTCGTCACCTGCTGTCTTTTCCGGGGACTCCATCTTGTCGGTCATTATCATGTGACAGCGACTAGTCAATGACAGGCATAAAACGTCACTGCAGAGCAGTGAAGTCGACTAGTTGACACAACCCCTACACACACAGGTACTGTTTTCTGAATATTATCCCTTAAGTGTTGGTGCTGCTGTAACAAGTGACTTTCCCCTCTGTGGGCTCAATAAAGTATTCTGTTCCTTGAACCGTCACCTTATCGTGGTGGAGGAGTTTGAGTGCCCTAATGATCCTAGGAGCTATGTTGTCTGGGGCACTTAGTGCCCCTGGTAGGGTCTCCCATGACAAATTGGTCTTAGGTGAAGGGTGAGACAAAGAACGGTTCGAAGGATCTTTCATGGCGGTTAAAACGAAGAGTCGGAGTACCCGGCCCGGAGGGTTACCGGGGTCCCACCCTGGAGCCAGGCCTGGGGTTGGGGCCCGTGAGCGAGCGCCTGGTGGCCGGGCTTTCGCCCATGGGGCCCGGCCGGGCCCAGCCCGAACCGGATACATGGGCTCGTCCAACTGTGGACCCACCACCCGCAGGAGGAACATGAAGGGTCCGGTGCAATGTGAATCGGGTGGCAGACCAAGGCGGGAGCCTTGGCGGTCCAATCCCCGGACAAGAAAACTAGTTTTTGGGACATGGAACGTCACCTCGCTGGCGGGGAAGGAGCCGGAGCTTGTGGCAGAGGTTGAGCGGTACCGGCTAGATATAGTCGGACTCACCTCGACACATAGCATTGGCTCTGGAACCCGAGACCTGGAGAGGGGTTGGACACTCTACTTTGCTGGAGTTGCTCCGGGTGAGAGGCGGAGGGCTGGGGTTGGCTTTTTGTTAGCCCCGAGACTCTCTGCCTGTGTGTTGGGGTTTACCCCGGGGGACAAAAGGGTAGCTTCCTTGCGCCTTCGGGTCGGGGAACGGGTCCTGACTGTTGTTTGTGCTTATGGGCCAAATATCAGTTCAGAGTACCCACCCTTTTTGGAGTCCCTGGGACGAGTGCTGGATAGTGCTCCATCAGGGGACTCCATTGTCCTGCTGGGGGACTTCAATGCTCACGTGGGCAATGACAGCTTGACCTGAAGGGGTGTGATTGGGAGGAACGGCCCACCTGATCAGAACTCGAGCAGTGTTTTTTTATTGGACTTCTGTGCAAGCCGCAGTTTGGCCATAACGAACACCATGTTCGAACATAAGGATGCCCACCGGTACACTTGGTACCAGGGCAGCCTAGGTCACAGGTCGATGATAGATTTTGTAGTCGTATCATCTGACCTGCGGCCGTATGTTTTGGACACCCGAGTGAAGAGAGGGGCGGAGCTGTCAACTGATCACCACCTGGTGGTGAGTTGGATCAGATGGCAAGGGAACATGCCGCGTAGACCTGGCAGACCCAAACGCATAGTGAGGGTCTGCTGGGAACGCCTGGCAGAAGAACCTGTCAAGACGGTCTTCAACTCCCACCTCCGGCAGAGCTTTGACCACGTCCCGAGAGCAGTGGGGGACATTGAGTCCGAGTGGGCCTTGTTCCACTCTGCGATTGTCGAGGCGGCTGTTGCTAGCTGTGGTCGTAAGGTGGCCGGTGCCAGTCGTGGTGGCAACCCCCGTACCCGCTGGTGGACACCAGAGGTTCGGGGAGCCGTCAGGCTGAAGAAGGAGGCCTACAGGGCGTGGCTGGTCTGTGGGTCTCCGGAGGCAGCAGACAGGTACCGGATAGCCAAGCGGGGTGCAGCAGTGGCAGTTGCCGAGGCAAAATCTCGGGCGTGGGAGGAGTTTGGTGAGGCCATGGAGAAAGACTATCGATCGGCTCCAAAGAGGTTCTGGCAAACTGTCCGGCGCCTCAGGAGAGGAAGGCAGCAACTCGCTCACACTGTTTACAGTGGGGATGGGGAGCTGCTGACGTCAACTGAGGCTATAGTCGGACGGTGGAAGGAATACTTTGAGGAGCTCCTCAATCCCACCAATGCGCATTCCGAGGAGGAACCAGAGCTGGGAGGCCTGGGGATGGACTGTCCGATCTCGGGGGCAGAAGTTGCTGAGGTAGTCAAACAACTACACAGCGGCGGAGCCCCGGGGGCGGATGAGGTTCGTCCTGGGTATCTCAAGGCTATGGATGTTGTAGGGCTGTCATGGTTGACACGTCTCTACAACATTGCGTGGTCATCGGGGGCAGTTCCTAGGGAGTGGCAGACCGGGGTGGTGGTCCACATCTTTAAGAAGGGTGACCTGAGGGTTTTTCCAACTATAGGGGGATCACACTCCTCAGCCTCCCTGGAAAGGTCTACTCCAAGGTACTGGAGAGGAGGGTCCGATCGATAGTTGAATCTCAGATAGAGGAGGAGCAATGTGGTTTTCGTCCTGGCCGTGGAACTGTGGACCAGCTCTATACCCTTGCAAGGGTGATGGAGGGGGCATGGGAGTTTGCCCAACCAGTCCACATGTGCTTTGTGGATTTGGAGAAGGCTTATGACCGTGTCCCCAGGGGCACCCTGTGGGGGACGCTCCAGGAGTATGGGGTGGGTGGCTTTCTGTTAAGGGCCATTCAGTCCCTTTACCAGAGGAGCGTGAGTTTGGTCCGCATAGCCGGTAGTAAGTCGGACCTGTTCCCAGTGAGGGTTGGACTCCGCCAGGGCTGCCCTTTGTCACCGGTTCTGTTCATCACTTTTATGGACAGAATTTCTAGACGCAGCCGTGGTGTGGAGTGTGTCGAGTTTGGTGGCAGGAGAATCTCGTCTCTGCTTTTTGCGGATGATGTGGTTCTCCTAGCTTCATCCAGCTCTGACCTTCAGCTCTTGCTGGGTAGGTTCGCGGCCGAATGTGAAGCGGCTGGGATGAGGATCAGCACCTCCAAATCTGAGACCATGGTTCTCGACCGGAAAAGGGTGGCTTGCCACCTCCGGGTCGGGGGAGAGGTCCTACCTCAAGTGGAGGAGTTTAAGTATCTCGGGGTCTTGTTCACGAGTGAGGGTAGGAGGGATCGGGAGATCGACAGGCGGATTGGTTCGGCGTCTGCAGTAATGCGGACGCTGAGCCGATCTGTCGTGGGGAAGAGGGAGCTGAGCCAGAAAGCCAGGCTCTCGATTTACCGGTCGATCTACGTCCAAATCCTCACCTATGGTCATGAGCTTTGGGTAATGACCGAAAGAACGAGATCGCGGATACAAGCGGCCGAAATGAGTTTCCTCCGTAGGGTGGCCGGGCTCAGCCTTAGAGATAGGGTGAGGAGCTCGGACATTCGGGAGGGACTCGGAGTAGAACCGCTGCTCCTCCAGATCGAAAGGAGCCAGTTGAGGTGGTTTGGGCATCTGGTCAGGATGGCTCCTGGACGCCTCCCCGGGGAGGTGTTTCGGGCATGTCCTGCCGGCAGAAGGCCCCCGGGCCGACCCAGGACACGTTGGAGAGGTTACATCTCCAATCTGGTCCGGGAACGCCTTGGGGTCCTGCCGGAGGAGCTGGTGGACAAGGCCGGGGAGAGGACGGCCTGGAGCTCCCTAGTTGGCATGCTGCCCCCGCGACCCGGACCCGGATAAGCGGAGGAAGACGACGACGACGACGGCAAACATGCACTTTATTACACACACACACACACACACACACACACACACACACACACACACACACACACACACACACACACACACACACACACACACACACACACACACCAGTACCTGTGTCCATGCTGATGGATGATCCTGAAGTGGTAGCAGGTTTTCTTTAGCCGTGTTTAGCTAACAGCTGCAATAGAAACAAAGCAGGAGAGCTGATTAAGATGCTGCTTCAGAACAACGCAGGAGATTAAAGATCCAACGCTTTGGTTCTGATCAGCTGAGGACACATCCAGTCTGGAAAAGAGGACCTTTGCTCACCAGAGCTCTTGTGGTTGACATGCAGATCACCGGTTGTGTGGGTAAGTAGACACGTTGCAAGTCGTGGGTTACTAAAACACCCGACTCAAGAGAATCAGAGTCGTTACGACATTAGATTTATTTGTTACCCGTGGTGGATGCTAGCGGGTGGAACACGGTGTCTCCACGGAAAGGCATCTAGCGTGATGGCTATAATGAATCTTTGAGTTAGTGCCCGTCAGAAACCTGAGTGACTAACGCTCATACCTATGACCCACGTTTCTCGTCAATTCTGTTCACGAATAAAACCTTTGCCCTGTATCTTTGTACTCCTTCAGTCACGGTGAACACAAGTTCATATTTTCGGACATTTTCTGTGATGCGTTCTACAATCTGTTCCAGGTCTGCGGCTAAATATCTTTTCACTATATTGACGAGGCAATGGTGGTGCTGTTGACGAATTTACAGGAAGTGGTGTCCTGACCAATCACAGTCTCAATTCGAATAGTGTTTAAAAAGTCGGACATGTCTTGGTCTCCCTCTGCAAGCCTGTCGGAAAGCTTTGCGCCGATGCAAAATGGCATTGCGTGTTTCCGTGCAAACGCAGAAGTGTAGATCCGGCTTCTCCACCCAGAGTTTGTTCTTTCAAAGTCTGATTAAATCTGCTGATTAGCGAGCTTCCCGACTTTACATCGCTCTCAAGCCCTGTTCACAAGACACACCGTGTCGGTGTTACGTCCATATGAGTCCCCCGTCGAGATCTGTTTTGAGCTTTTTGAGCCGTCTCACGACCAAATCAGCCTCTGATAGTCTGCAAGCATGCTTGAAAACCTACGACTCCTGTCTGCAACCGACCAATGAAAACACACTTTTGGGATGCCGCAGCAGCAAGACTCCGCCTCTCTGAGCTTCAGTTGTTTAAAATGCAGATTATAAACTACACACCAGTTTTATTATTGTTAACAGCCCAAGTTAAACCGGACTTATACTAAAATTATTAAACTGCATTTGTAGACCATCAGATAAATTGTGAAAACTGTGATTCTGTGATCTGTGAGAGGAGATGAGCTCACCAACATAAAAAATAAAACACAACAACATGAGATCCCTTTGCTGTTGGTGGAAATCTCACATACTCCACAGATAAGGATGGTTCAGTAGCGTTTTGCTGCAGAGGGACAGAGGAAGCGGCACCCTGTGACAGTGTGATGAGCTCACGGAGCGCAGCTGTGGACCAAAACGAGATCAAGTCCCCATAGACCAGGGCTACTCATTTCCAGGCCTCAAGGTCCGGTATCCAGCATGTTTTCATTTTAACCTGCTTCAACACACCTGATTTCAATCAGCAAGTGATTAACGGACTTCTGCGGAGCCTGATGAGCTGCTGCACAGGTGATGCAACCACTCAGTCTAGTGTGTTGGACCAGAGAAACCACTGAAGCGTGCTGGATACCGGCCCAGGAGGCCTGGACTTGAACAGCCCTGGCATAGACATTTCAGACTCCAGCACAGCAGAGCCTTCTCCATCAAGCCACAGTGGGTTTTCCTTCACATGCTCATCCATTTCTGAAGTCCAGGTTGAACTTGTTAGGCTGGACACAAATAAATCTGCTGACCTTGACGGTCTTGATTCCATGTTCTTAATGCTGCTGCCCACATTACTGCCCCTCCGGTCACAAGACTCTTTAACATGTCTAGGGCTGCAACTAACGATTATTTTCATAATCAATTAATCTGTCGATTATTTTTTCGATTAATCGGTTTGTTATTGTTTAGCTATTTAACCTATACAAGTGATGAATGCATTTCAGTTAAGAAAAAGAAAAACATAAGAGAATTGTGCAGTTGACTGCAATCTATTTTATTGCACATGAACACAGTCAGCGGTGTAAAATGAGCTAAACAGTGCAAAATATCAGTCCAGAATAATTTTTTGGCATCAAAATATAAGAGGTAAATTCCATAAAAAATAATGTAGAATCTAGAATAGAGTTTGTAAGTGGTATGCATTGCTGGGGGGTGAGTGTCTTGTTCCCCATGTAGTTGTCCATCGTTGCTTGTTTTTTTCTGCATAAGAAACACAAATAGACTGAAATAAGTACACATATAAAATAAAGCAGCACACACACTACAACACTAAATCAATATTATATTATTTGAATTAATTAACAATATACAGTGATCATTTATTTTGACAAAAATGTGTTGTGAGGCGTTTTACAGTGTTAGATAGTAAAACAGCCTTTTAATAGTAAAAAATGACTTTTTCTGAATTTCTCCTGTATTTAAAAATTGAAAGCGTACAACTATGCCGCGTTATATTCACCTGGACACAGCTCGTCTGTATATTTTTCTCCGCGGAGTTGTCCATTTTTGAATGAGGAACACAGTTATGGGTTTGTGCCGTTTTTCTCTTAACGAGAACATTCTTATAAACAGACGTGCTGAATTTGGCAAGCGCATGATACACAACACGGAGGAGATTCACGATTGCATCTAGTCAATCAGAAGTAGAACACCGTAGACTGACACGGCAAAAAAACATGTTTAACATCCACTATAACGAACTCAGCTCCCAAATTTGATCTGCGTTAGCTTGTTTATTTTCTGTTACTTACCGGACTTTCCTCTGCTGCATCAGCCCCCACGTGTTTTCGTCTCAAATGTTCACTTAGGGACGTCGTGCTTCCGTGCCATGCTAGATGGTTTTTGCATATTTTGCAGGTCACCGGTCTTTTCAAGGCATCTAGTGAAGTGCTTCCATACTCGTGAGGTTTTTGTCCGGGGTTTCTCTTCAGTTTTGTCGCTTCTATTTTTCTTCCGTATTTCCTCTTGTTCCGCCATCTCTCACAGCAAGATGAGCGTCAGTAACGTGTTACGTCATGAAAACCGAGGGCACTTATTGGCTCATTTCTTCTTCTACGGCTCCACTGGTAGATCAGTGGCTCATTACTGCCACACACTGGCGGCAAATTTAACAGATTGTAACCGATATCAGATTGTGGTAAAAATAGACTTTATGCGGTAAAATATGATTATTAAACAACTAATCGATGACTAAAAAAGTTGTTAACTATTTTAATAATCAATTAAATCGATTAGTTGTTTCAGCTCTAAACATGTCCCTACAACGGTGCAAGTTCCCCTCCGACTGGAAATTTGCCAGAATTTTCCCCTTTTTAAGGGTGGTTAGGGTTCTGCAGCTGACCCAAACTGCTATCGCCCCATTTCCGTCCTACCATGTCTTGCTAAGGTTCTTGAGAAGCTTGTTCAGATCTTTTGTACGTTCTTGCTGTGTTTGTCTTCAAATTCCATTGTTGGTTCTTTTATAAACACAGGAAATGTTTCTCTTTACCTTGCTAACAGTTTTGTTTATGGCTGCAAACATCCTCAGAGCTGACGCTGATGGTGGCGTCACTTCCTTCTCCGTTTACCTGCGGACAGCAGAGGACGTTGTCGCCCTCTGCTGCCCGCTCTCCCCTCTCTGATGATGCAGTCCCATGCGTGATCCAGCGTGTAAACTCCGTCGTCTCTGTTCATGGTCCCACATCCACGTCTCCTTATCTCTATAGCTTCTTTTATCCATCTTTTGTGTTTCTGTTGTTCGGTGTTTATGATCCTTGTGTTGTCCCAGTCCATTATATGGTTTTCTCTTGTGCAGTGATCTGTTACGGCTGACTTCTTTATTGTGCTTTCTGCTTCTTCTTTTGCTGCTCTTGTGTGTTTTCCACTTGTTTCTTTCTCACACTCCTTTCTGTGTTCTATTGTTCGTGTGTTGAGTTGGCGTCCGGGTTCTCCTACGTATGTTTTATTGCAGAGTTTACATGGGATTTGGTAAACGACTCCACATTTAAGTCCAGCTGGTATCTTGTCTTTTGGGTGCACTAGTCTGTTTCTAACTGTTGTGTATGGTTTTGTTGGTGTGTTTATGTTTGTTTTTTCATTGTTGCTCTTATTTTTTCCGTTATGCCGCTGATGTATGGTAGGGTTATCACTGGTTCTGGTTCTTGTCTTTCTGGGTTTCTGGTTCTTTGCTTTGGTTGTTTTTTTCTTTCTGTTGTTGTTTGTCATTTTCCTTTGTTTATCGCCCATGTTGGGTATCCGCAGGTCTTTAAAGCGTGTTGTATGTGTTTGTCCTCTTGTTTACGGTCTCTCTCTTCTGTTACCATGTTTGCTCGGTGATATAATGTTCTGATTACTGACATTTTGTGTATGGTGGGGTGTTCTGATGTCCATAATAGATATTGGTCTGTGTGTGTTGGTTTCCTGTATGTGTTTATGTTTAGGGTCCCGTCGGTCTGTCTGGTTATGTTCATGTCCATAAATGCTGTACTGCCTTCTGTTTCTGACTCATATGTAGGGATGGGTACCTTTGACATTTGAATCGATACCGGTACTTAACGGTACCAATTTTAGATACTTTTGAGTGTTTATTATTTTAATTCTCTTTAATAATTAAATATATTTTTTTCTCAATATATAACCATATTTGATAAATATCACGATAAATAACATACAACTGTTTGTATTTTAACATCGTCCTTGTAGTTTTATAAGCTGATAATTAAACTGAAGCAAACATTTTTACTGTGAACTAAATTTACTGTGTGTCTTCATTCCTTTTGCCGTCTTTTTCATTTGATTTTTCCTACTGGGAAGTTAGAATTTCCGAGGAGAAAGCGAACGTACCATTAGCTGGTAACAACGGTGGCAATGGAAGCTAACATATCAAGCTAACGTTATCTTAAACTGTTTATTTAACTGCTGGAGCAGATTAAAACGATGATGCTTCACACTTAGATCGTTGTCGCTGGTTTCATCTTCACCCAATCACCCGACGCATTTAGTAAAGTGAAGCCAAACTTTAGAGCGCGTTCGTGTTCTTCTAGTCGGGAATTCGGAGTTCCGAGGAGAAAACGAATGCACCATTAGCGGAATGGAAGCTAACAAATCAAGCTAACGTTATCTTAAACATTTTATTTAAGATGTCTCACTTAGATTGTTGTCGCTGGTTTCATCATTACCCAGTTACCCATCACATTTAGTGAAGTGGACCCAAGCTTTAGCGTGCGTTCTTTCTACCATGCTGCTCTGTTTACAACTGGCTCGCAGGGACCGATGACATAACGCTCTTGCGCATGCGAAGCTGTCTAGGTAAGTTCTCGTTATGAAGGACGGGTACCGAAACGAGGCACCGTTTCAAATTACGTGAATCGGTGCTCAGTCGGTACCTTAAAAAGTACCGAATTTGGTACCCATCGCTACTCATAAGTGAACTTTATGCTGCCTGTGTCGTCAATGTAATTCAAGTGTTGTGTTAGTGTTTCTGTTTGTCCTTTTGGTATGATTTCCAGTATGTCATCCACGTAGCGTTTCCATCGTTTTATTTTGCAGTTTGGGGGGGGCGGTGGCTATGGCTTTTTGTTCCAGGTCTTCCATGAAAAACTGGCACAGGGTGGCTGATAACGGGTTACCCATGGCGAAGCCTTCCAGTTGTTTGTATATTGTGTTGTCGTATGTGAAGTAAGTGGAGTTAGCTACCAGACCTATCAGTTGTGCTATGTCATCTGCTGTGAGGTTTGTCCTTTTATGTAAAGTCTTGTCTTGTCTGATTCTGTTAACTACTATGTCTATGGTTTTTTGGGTTGGTGTTTTTGTGAACAGAGATGTGACGTCATGTGAGATGAGTATGTCGTTGTCTTCTATTGAGATCTCCTTTAGTTCTTTTGCCAGTTCTATGCTGTTTTTGCAGTGTTGGTCTGTGTTTCCTAATAACGGGCTGATGATTCTGCTGATATCTTTTGCCGTGTTGTATGTTGGTGTACCTATGCTGTCTACTATTGGTCTAAGCGGTGTTTTGTTTATGTATTTTTGGTGTTCCATATATTCTTACACCATGCGTACACCATTCTGTACGCGGTTGGTCCCTCTCCCTAGTCTGTGGCTTCCAGTCTTCAACTCAGCTTAGCCTCCATAGAGCAGTTTTTTTAAGTAATCTCCACCTCTGTCGGAACACCACTAAGACCAAGTTCATGCTAGTCAGCCGAAAACCTGTTGCCTCAACTCCACCCACAATCATGCGTATGAACGGCACGGTTCTGGAGTATGTCAAAACGTGTAAACATCTAGGCATTTGGTTGGATTCATCTCTTTCGTTCGCCACACACATCAATAATCTTCGAGCAAAAGTCAAAGCCAGACTATCCGTTCAAGTCTGCAATAAAGCTTCTTTCACGCATGCCTCTAAATGCACCCTTGTTAAGATGACCGTTTTCGGATTACGGCGACATCATACACAGAATGAGCCAAGCACAGCCCTAAAACCCTCCGCCATCCGTTCTTACCCATCGTTGAGATCTGGGGGCCGGCCCTCTCTTCACACCCGGCGCCTCCATCATTGGGTTCTTTACATCTAAAAGACAACCCTGGGAAAGACGCCTCTCTACCTGTGGTCTCCTCTTCATGCTACTCATAACACCTACCAAACCAGATCAAGTAGTAGGGCTGTCGCGGTTGAGGAATTCCTCCTGCGGTGATTCAGGGTGGCTTAATATTGCGGTGTGCGATATTATTGCAGCCCTTTTTTTTATTGCAGTACTATCTAAACATAATGTTTACACATTTAAAAAAGGTTAAAATTTGCCGTGCCTTCTTTTATAACATTTTACTGAATGCAGATCAAAGGGCAGTAACCACACAGATCGCAGTAACGTTTGTTTCTCCGACAGTCGGAGTCCGACTGAACTTAAAAACAACTAAATTCAGGAGAAGGTTAAACTTTTAAATGCAAATTTGGCTGCAGCATCTAACAAATAAGAAACAAGTCCCCATTTTGTTTAGTTGTTTTAAATCAAGCATAAAAAATTACATGTACCGGGCGCGCGCGCGCCGGGGGGGCGCACTATCATTTCACTTTCACACACACGAATGACGGTGATTTATAGCTCGGTCACGTCCTTGTTACCCACAAGGAAAACCAGCATGTTAACCATATACGGTTTGAGAGAGGATCTGAGAGGGTGACAACATTTCCAGCAACACTGAAAACCCTCTCGGATGGTGCGCTCGTTGCACTAACGCACACGTACCTGCGTGCGACTCTGGCGAGCAAAGGGAATCTCTCCCGGTTGTTGCTCCACCGTGTCAGGGGGGTTTCTTTAGGGTGGATGCATTCCTCCTGCAGGTAGCGAGTGAGCTCCAGCTCGGCTCAAACTCTCTTCGGGACGGTTGCAGAAGCAGCGCTTGTCCGGGACTTCAGCAGGTCTCCGAGCGTTTATTATTATTTTTTTGCCGCTGGTGGCAGCTCTGTCTCGGCCAAGGACTCTGGCTGCGCAGCAGCTGACGTACTGAAAACCAAAGTGCTCCCAAAGGAGCGAAGTAACGTTTCGTTTTGATACCAGTGCAGCCATCCTTCTCAACTTGCATCATTGAGTTGAACCAAGTTCAGTAATCGCGGTGGCGCATGATGCAGCGCGGTGGGCTTCTTCATATTGTGATATTTCATTTTTGCGGTTACCGCGACAGCCCTATCAAGTAGTACTAAAGTTAACCCCCCCCCCCCCCCCCCAACATCTACCACCTAATGCCCTTCTCTTTGCAGCAGCATGCGACTGGAATACATCCAAGAATAACCTCAGATAGGGCTGCTCGATTATGGCAAAAACAATAATCACGATTATGGTGACTGAAATTGAGATCACGATTATTTAGGACGATTTTTCTATTCATGTTGATTTTATTTGTTTTTATTCAGTCATAAAATTGCTCAGGGCACAATCAGGACAAAAATAAGAAACAAGATGATCACTAAAATAACTCCTGGTTCCCAGTATAAAAAGACCAATAAACTTATAGCTCATAGTCTATGACCCAAGGACTATAGACCTTGGTTTAACTCATTTAAGTCTAACCAGTACAGACCCAAATACCAATATCTGGCAAATACTGACAGCAAGAATTATACAGTGGCATTTATAACAAATAAACTGATGTTCATAAAATGTTGCGTAACATTTATTGAGTCGTGTCAAGGTGCTGTAGGAGAGTGCACTAGCACCGTGTCCTCAGAGAGGTTAGTTATTATTTATCAGCGTGAGGAACTTATTTCTACCTTATTTATAAACTATTTATTTACAAGTCCATCAGTTAAAGTAATATTTGTCCCAACCACAGCTGCACCCCCCACCCCCCAACCCGGTCTCACAGCAATCAGTGGCAAGCTGCACGTGTTTAGCATGCTGCACGCGCACATTTAGCCGTTTTTAGTGGCTCAGGAGTCCGCAGGTGCGGTGTGTGTGTCACTCACTCTGGTTACTCCAACAGGGAGCCGGCTCCGAGAGCTGTTTCTTTAGCGACCGACACATCACTGCATCATTCCCTTTCCTAATGTCCTGAAGAACGGTCCAGAGCGCAGGCGGAGTGTTTAGCTAACCTGCAGGAAACGTCGATGACAGTTATCCAGAAAGTAGCTAAGGGTTACCAGAGATGTTTCTGAGGTGTTCGCTAGGTACTTTTAGGATTAAAAAGTCAAGAAGGGGGTCTGAAAAGCTGCTAGAAATAGCCTCAAAGTCGCTAAGTTGGCAACACTGTGGAGGAGCGCTTCATCTGCAACTCAGGGCAGCGCAAGCGGGAGGAGCAAATAATCGGCTTGTTTTGTTTTTTATAATCGTTCAAAACTCAGATCGTAATCGTGATTAAAATTAGATTAATTGAGCAGCCCTATAATAAATGTCCTCCTGAGTGCTGCCGTCTCCTCCTTTGACCATTATTTCTGCTTTGATCTTTTTTGAAAACTCCCGATTAAAACCGATAGGGGCGCTATCGGCCGACTGGGATCAAATGCCGATCTATCGGTGCATCCCTATTGGAAATAGCGTCAAAGTCGCTAAGTTGGCAACACTGTGGGAGGAGCGCTTCAATTGCAACTCAGGGCAGTGCAAGTGGGAGGAGCAAATAATCGTCTTGTTTTGTTTTTATAATCGTTCAAAACTACGATCGTAATCGTGATTAAAATTCGATTAATTGAGCAGCCCTAGCCTCAGACCTACATCCTTTATCCCAATCTCCAGATTCAAGCAGCCCATCCAAAGTGACCCAGCAGCTGTTGTAGGAGAAGATGATGATCCAGAGAGGCGGAGGCAGCAGACACTCTGGCTGGACCAAGTTTCTGTGAGGTGGAGAGCAGAGGCGAGCTTCATCCAGCAGTGGCAGACAGGAACCAGAAGAAGAGGAGATGACTCTCAGTGCAGTGGGAACTGATCTGAGAACAGCTCTAGAGTCCAGCTTCATGCTGTGTGTTCCCCTGGATCTGACAGAGGACCATCAGAGGATCCTCCGGCTCTGCTGCTGCTCTGTCCTTCTACGCCGTCTCTGCTGCCTCCTCCTGGATTCCTGCTCAGCATCTTCATTGTTCTACATTTGCTACAACAAACGTCCTCCATCAGATGAAGTGAATCTTTAAGGAACCACATGCCAATCCATCAGAGAGCAGAAGTAGGAGCTGAGAGCTGCTGCAGAGCAGATCTTCTGTTAGCAGAGCTCATTCTTCAGGGCCTTTCTGTTCTCCAACCATCTCATCAGATCAGGACCATTCCTGGAGGGATGGCTTGGGAGAGGACGCTGGTGTTGGAGGTCCTCCTGCCTTTACGTCACGTTTAAACCTTTGTAACAGACTTCTGATGCGTTGGTTGTTGATGTCTCTGGTCCAGGTTAGCACAGAGCTAGCTGTTAGCCTACCTGCTATTACTTCCGGTCTTTGTGGCCGGCTGGCTGCAGTCGTCATGCGGTCCAGTGGACCGGGGTCTGCTCGTAGCCGCAGCCGCGGGTGTCGCACTCCAGCCGGGAGAAGGGCCGTCACAGCGGGTGGCCCACCCCGAACAGCGGCCTCTCTGCAGTAGGGCTGGGCGGATCGATATAACGCGGGTACTGAGTATTTACTAGATACCTGCGTGAAGGCATCGATTCAGTTTCTTCTAGCCTGACAAGCCATGACGTACTCACCGCTACAGATGTCGGTCAACGAGGCAGTCCACCAAACTCCGCCAAAGAAGATGCGAAACACATCCTTCTCCTAAATAAACGTTAGTACTTCTATCTGATCTTGACTCAAACAAAAGCCAAAGTCATAATAGTCCAAACTTGATGCCAAAGCCGTTTCAAACGAGCGGCTGACCGCCGACTAGTCACGTTTGTTTGTTTTTTTCCGATAACATCCCGCCTACTTAGTGTTGTGATTGGTCCATGAAATCTATGTAGCGCCATGATTGGACCACTACAGGACGGAAGCCATCTTGATTTGTAGTTTGCCTGGCAGATAGCTGTGATTGGACCGTTTCGAGCGGCAGCCATATTTGTTTGCAGGGACATCCCGCCTACCTCGATAAAAGAGCGCTGTGATTGGCCCAAAAAAACCCTTAAAGCACTGTGATTGGAACGACACGGATGTCAGTCAACGGGGCAGTCCGCCATTACATGAAAAAAGTTTTTTATTTTATTTATTTATTTTTTTTATTGTACAAATTCACAAATACAGCGCATATCTTACAAATCAACAAGATATGGATAAGTACAGTTGGATAAGAACAAAGCAGCCATCAAACCAAGAACAACAACAACAAAAAGAAAAGAACATTATAGGTCAGAAATAACAAAACAGCATACCCGTGCATTAAATGACCTTCCATATGAAGTGAAGAAAACAAAGAAAACAAAACAAAAATAGAAGTACGCACATACATTCTAGCTACATCAGTTGAAAAGCAACATCAAAAAATCAAGTAAGATCTGAGCCTTCTTTAATTTACACTTATCTAATGAAGCCTTCAATAGAAGGACTTCATTTTTAAAACCAGCAAAAATCGGAGTAATTTTTAAGAAGCGACATTTATGAATGAAAAATTTTGCAACTATAAATAAGTTGTTAATCCCAAATTCTATTTTCTTATTTTCTGTTTGTAGGCCAAATCTAATTACTTGAAAGGTTAGAGAAGGGCAATCAATATTTTTAGAGGTTAACCAGTACTGAAAATCATTCCAAAAAGATCTGGAACTGTCACATGAATAAAAAAGGTGCTCTGTAGTCTCAATATCAGTTTTGCAAAATGTGCATGTGTTCATATCTATATTAAATTTCTTATGAAGATAGTCCTTGGACGGGTATATGGCATTTAATATTTTAAAGTGATTTTCTTTTGCTTTTGGTGGAATTGGAAAAGAAAGATATTTAATCAAGAATCTAAAATTATAATCTTTAAACAAATATTTTCTTTTTAATTGAGAAGGAAAAAGTTGTTTGGTTAGAATCGTCCTTAAGAATTTATTATTGCATGACTTTCCATTAAATTGACGATCATCAATGACTAAGGATGGTTCACGAATTATAGAGGAAGAATAGGTTAGACTGGCTTTAGCCATCTGAATCATTGCAGGGGGAATGGCTTTTACAACTTTAATGAATTTACTTTGAGAACATGATACGCCATAATTATCTATGAATTTATTATATGATAATACATTGCCATCATTGTCTAACAAATGTAAAACTGTCCAAATTCCATGATCCATCCAATCCTTATAAAAAATGGATTTTCGGTTTATCAATATACATCTGTTGTTCCAAACTGAATTTGTATGTGGAGGAAAATGATGCTTGTAAATCATTTTCCAGTACTGAAGAACCTGT